GCTTTCACAAACGTATCAATTACTAGTATACTGATAAATAACAATTATGGCATTATTAAACCGCTCATTGTATATCAAGAACACTGGTCAGAATTGATTTAAACAGTGACATCTATTCATCTGACTCGGTGTAATGTAGTTTTGTGTCAACAGAAACACCCTGCTATAGCATGACGGTTACGCTACCTCTGAAAACGAGGTTGGACGGCTTCGTTCACTGATTTATCCAATAAAATGGCCGCGAGGGAACAGAAAACTAAGGTTGGTGCATTATTTTCTACTATTGTGTATCAATGAAAAGATGAACGATTTATGTAAGCGTCGCATTCGGTGATGCATTTAGTAATGTATATTTTGAACGTAGTCTTTACAAATTGATGCCCGGGGATAACATGAAATAAGCGAAAAACTGTTGAGTTTGAAATTAAAAAATACACAAAATATAGTAATTTGTTTATTTTTGTCGTTAGGGCATGGTCTACATTGCCTAACGACCTCAGGGTATATGGATGTAACCTACATACGATCATAAAAAGCCAATTGAGCATCGGAAACCACCTAATATGTTCTACTCAAGCCATAATAATGTATTCTAAATTTAGTTACGCAAAAAATTGATTGACAGTTACGCGGACCTCGTTCAAATATGTATCACCGATTCATTGTTATTAATTTTGTCATATTCATCAGTACTTGATGATAATTCTTCTTTTGCTTCTTCATTGCTATCTTTTTTGATTTTCATTGGTTTCATAAATAAATTTTCCTGCCCTATAGAGGCTCAAATAGAGCGTCTCTTGCGAGTCCTGAAAACAAATATAAGCAATTCAATATTCCATTTCTTACCCATTATAACAATGACATGGAAAGAGGCTATCAGAACTAGCAACCTTGACTTGAAAGGTAAACATGCACATAACCGTCCGCTAAATATCTAATGTACAACTTATACAATACGTTACCGTCCATAGAATTCATACTTGTCTAACGACATTGCGTTTGGAACCTTATTATTTAAAATATGCACCACGTTCCTGTTCTGGATTCCCATTGTTATATTGTAGCAGTCATGTTTAACATCTAGTTCGGAACGCTGTGTCCTCTCACGAAGCAGTAGTCCGGTCACCCCCTTGTAGTCAAACGGCCCCTTAAGGAGAAACCCTACATTCAAGTTAAACATCCTATTAATTACTGTATGCGTATGAAATGTAATTGTAATTTTGTAGCAAACAATATGCTGAATAAAGCATGAAATGACGACTTCAGAATATATATGTGTTTTTATTTCCTTAATCCAAGGAAAAATAAACTGTTGTTACTTATATCATTTTATTTAATTGTTTGTCGTTGTATTTTATTTTATTTGTTTTTGTATTTATTTATACAAAGAATACTTTATAACAAGTGCACAACTGCAATCAAACATTAATAAAGTGGTTGTATTTGTGAAGGGTTACAGTGGTGGGGGTGACTTGGGCATTTTTACATCGTTCAAAAAGATGGCACTACACTATAGATTGGCGTGAATGGCAGGATCTGCTGTGATGGAGTAATAATTTGGCACTGGATTTGCATACATTGCTAGCTACGGATCGGAATACAACTGACCATTTCACAGTAAGGATGGTGACCCTTCCATGCGGGGGAATTGAGATAATGTTTCACAGCTAGTTTGGAGCGCGATACTACAGTAGCCAGTCTTCAGGGAATGAACTATTGAATAGAAAACAATTGTAAATCTGTTAATAAAAGAATTAAAAAGCCTTGGCGAAGTAGCCTCCTTTGTTTACATTCGCCAATTTGTAAAAACAGAAAACATGGTGATGATTTTTTAAATTTCGATTATTGGAACAGATTTTACTCGTCCGGCTAGCTATTTTAGTTGTGCACAAAAATCCAAAATGAGTAGGTCAGTGTCGCTAAACAGGTGCCATTCGCAATGTCCAATTTCTCTACTAGTAAAATACATCCTATGCAAGATCATGCGTGACGACGGAATAGATCATTCATCTTATTTCCCGGGGATATCTAATGAATGATCCATTCCGGTCCGTGGTAACACATGGCTTTGAATTAGATGTATATATACAGTATATAACTGGTGGTCATGAAGATTATTACGAACGGCAATAACCTGCTCAGTTCATGTACAATTGAAATATCCGTAGCCGAAAGTGAAATCTGTTCCGATAATCGAGTTTTCAAAAAGTTCTTCTATTTTTACGTTTTTGCGAGATGATCAGTTATATTAAGTGGTATTGTTAAATAAGTCCAGTGCCGCGGAATGTTCACTTGCAAGGGGTGTACTATATGACCATTTGGAAAACATAAAAATGTAATCAGTTTGGTAAAATTTTATTCTAATTTTGAATAAGCCGTGGTTTTAGTGGGCATGAACTTGGTGTAAGACCACACGAAATTTAGTGTATTATATGTATAATATAATATAAAAGTAATATAGTTATAATATTATTAAATGGCGTATTATATATATAATATAATATAATATAAAAGTATATGTTATATATATACAGGGTGGGCCAAAAAAACGCCACTTTTTTTTCAAGACACTATAACTTTTTTATTTTCCAACCTACATACCCCAAATTTTGTAGTTATATAGTGCCAAGGGTTCTTAGTAATAATATAATGTAACAAGTCCTTCAACTGGGATTATATTTGATCTAAAGGAGGAGTTCAATTGGTCCGCCACCCTATTTGATGATATATTTTAGTTTAAGTCGCCTTGCTGATATAGCAGTATCAATGAAATGTTAGCTATATTTTTTTCAACGTGTCTTAATTGCCAGCTTTAGTTGAGCAATTTTTTAGATTGGGTGCCTTCATACCATCTCCTGGAGACCTTCCCATACCCTATACTCACTGGGGTTTGCATTAGGGCTATTAGCTTGGCGGTCACCAGGGCGTATCAGTTCAGGAACATTTTGCAAATTATGCTTATTTCCCATGGCACACCACATGTTTAAGTGAGACGCTGGTGACATATTTTATTCAAGCAAAAGTGTAGAATTCATGATCCATGGCTAGATAACAACCTCAAGTTTCATTTGGTATGCAAATTATGACTTTGTATTAAAAATTAAAAAAGTTATAGCATTTTGAAAAAAAAGTGGCGTTTTTTTGGCCCACCCTGTAGTTATATATTATATTCTTGTAAATGTGTATATGCATGTATTTATTTATATATTTGTCTCCTCTGGTCCCCAGTCCCCAGTCCCCAGTAGCTATATATATATTTATATCGGTCTCCAGTCCCTCCTTTATATATGTTTGTGTATATGCATATACATGTACTTATTTATATATCTGTCTCCTCTGGTCCCCAGTCCCCAGTCCCCAGTAGCTATATATATATTTATATCGGTCTCCAGTCCCTCCTTTATATATGTTTGTATATATGCATATATATGCATCTATTTATATATTAGTCTCCTCTGGTCCCCAGTCCCCAGTCCCCAGTAGCTATATATATATTTATATCAGTCTCCAATCCCTCCTTTATATATGTTTGTGTATATGCATATACATGCATCTATTTATATATTAGTCTCTTCTGGTCCCCAGTCCCCAGTTACTATATATATAGGAGAGGTTTTTTTGAAAAACAATTTTGACTTTAAAGCCCCCCATGATTACCAAATTTTCTCAATTTTTTTCCTCAATTACAATAAGTCGAAAATCGATGATAAATTTGATGAATTTTTTAAATTCGACATTCCCATGTTAACCAATGGGAAATGGTAGGTTTGCCGCAAGTCATATGACAGAATATCCATCCATCTGAGTCCTTGCAAAAATACGAGTTAGGCAGGCAATTGAATTTGATAACTTTATTTAACAAAAATTGATACGTTTCTTAAAGTGTAACAAAGTTATAGGGCTTTAAAGTCAAAATTGTTTATCTAGGCTCGAAAAAATCGTCAGTACTCCCTAAATCATCATTTTATCAACGAAATATAGGAAAATATGTTTTTTTGCTTTGGAATCAATGGCGCCTCAAATGTTCAAATGATGATAACGTCACACCTATTTTCAGAAGCTTCTCATGAAAAAACTAATCCGTTGACCCACCTTTTTTATTACATTTTTCGAATCGCTACATCTAGGTCTATAATAAAAACCTAGTTTCATTGAGATTGAAAATGGTCGATTTTTTCGGAGGTTACACTGGTATATCCTTAAAAGACTAAAAAACTTCATACCAATGATGTATAAGATCTTACCTAAAAATCTGTTGATTTTCTAAATGAATGAGGAAACAGAAATGGTAGCTTTATGATGTTAAAATCATAGTATAAATGTGATGTTTTACATGTTGGTTCAATGGGGATCTGCTTTAGGCCTAAGATTCTTTTCCTGAAAATGGGCTAGACATCTATTGGCTGTTTATAGAGTATTTTCAACTATTTAGCAAGGCTAAACTCCTGTATTCAACTTACCCTCCCCCCACTTTATCATTTATAACCATTCAAAAACGAAATAAAACACACATTTTCAAACACATTTCTCGATCCGTTTTTTTCTATGTCAGCCGACATGATGGCCGAGTTCGAGCTGGATGCTATTGAAAGCAATTTGTATGAAGTGAACTCAATTGTGTTCTCTTTCCCAGTTAGTCCAGGTTAGGGGTTGCGCCTTAATTGTTGAATTGGAGGCCGATGAATGAGCAAAGAAGGCTAGATGGCAACTAACAAGGGGTCCGACGCGAGGAAATGTTAGGATTTGGATGTCATTTGCTACACTCTGAACATTTCTGAACATTTTAAATTTTCCTAAAAATTTAGAAATTTTTTATTCCGCGCATAATAGGCTACAAAGCGAATTCCATATCATGAGGATCAAACTGAAATCCGTCAGGCTTTATTTTTCTGGTTTTAGAGATGATTGCCTGCTTTAAAACCTTCTCCCATGATTTTCGAAATATGCACGAAGGTTCATTCAAAGTCGGTAGTTTAACAATTGAAAGCGATATTTAGACTGCAGGATTGAAAGCTGTTAATTATGCACGGATGTTCAGTATGAAAATAACCCCAAAACACTTAGTCTCAGGTTGATCTGAACAAAACCTGTAATTTTCAAAAATATACCTGAGTTTTATTTCGTTATCTATAGCAGTTATCTAACATTTATTTTATAATGGCTATCGCAAGAACTCTACGATGGGCTTACAATGGAGAAAACCGCATTTTTGTAGCTGCAAGTTGAGAAAAGCTATTTCAGTTGTCCTTTAACAATAAATCTGAGGAACATTGTAAATTGAACAATTACAATGTTACACCGTGATCTGACGTCGTCGGTATCATCGGGACTAAATGATTGTCTCAGTACTGGATTCCCCTGTATCCGCCACTGGCTTTGTGGACATATGGTAATAATATCTAAATAGGTTAAGTGTTTCAAATCTAACATCCCCTGTAAATCATGGTTACTGTCCTATTTTTCGGAATCTTTGGGGTAGACTGAATGTCCCGTTGTCTCTTTGGTGAAATAATGAGTTTCGTGTCCCACTAAAGCTGGGAAGAAGTAGCAAATACACTGGGATTCCTTATCATCATTGTAAATATTGTGGGCCTCGTGACCGTTGATTAGAAACATCGTACCATCGTGTTTCTCTTGGTCGTACGCGTGAGAATCTTCCCCACTGTTCCAAACGTACTTCCCAGACCCCTTGAACATAAACACAGCCTCGATGTGATTCTTGTAATGAAGGGGAGACATCGTGTTCGGATCCAACGTTGTGTTCGTTACGGTCATATTGTATCCATCAGATTTCACTAGATATCGCCTACTGTATCCAGAGATCCAAAACATATTCCTATCACCTGTTGTACCCTCCAGTTCGGACAGTTTCCGGATAGTAAACCGAGCGGGGCTATGATCGGGGTCCTTGGGAACATAACCTATGGATAGTCTTATGTCATCTGATACAGTCATAGTGGTAGTTGTATCTGCATCCATTGCCATAACGGTATCAGGACCGATTGTGACGTTTTCACCTTTTTCGGATATGACAGAGGCAGTGCCACACATAACATAGTAGGTATGATTGTACCCACTCTCGTACGGTTTGAGCGTCGCTACCTGTCCTTTTCCCAGTGATACATCGTACACCATGAAGCCGACATTATCAGCGCTAGAAACTAGTACTTTCCCGGTTAGTCCAGTCTCACCGATATCCAGGAGCGGCTGACCGTTCGTTACTGTTACCTTCATCGTAGTCGTGGATGTTGGATTAATACCTTAGGCTACTTTAGCCGAGTGTTAATGTTGCAACCGTATCTACTGCGTTTTATCTCTTTTTATCTTACTTTTGCTAGGTGTCCTGGCCCTAGTTTGACCTCATGATCTTAATTCACACGTAATCGGTCTCAAATGCCTTGATCAATAATTTGTACTTTGAGTTCAGCACGTCATGCCTTTATTCTGTATTTCGTTTTCATTGCCAATCCAATCATAGCTGTCATTAAATGTATTGCATGTAACATATGTATAAATACTGGATCAAAAGGTGTAAATTTATCAACTGATTTTCAATGAAATATATCGCGCCGATGGATTAAAGTCGAATTAGATTAACTTAATCGTTATTTTACCTAATTTGTCTCAATATTAGTCTATTATTGTTGTTCATTGCTGAATGCGAAAACTCCTTATGAAAGCGCATTGATGTTCTTAGTAAGTATTAGACATTCATAAAGTTCTTTGAATGCTTGGCAGCTTATGTTTTGGAGGTTCAGAATGACATAAAAAACTTCAAGTGTTTTAACATTGTTCAGTTCCCTCTGTTCTCTCAAAAATGCCTTTGACTACTACAACTATGCCATCTTTCAATGGACATTCTTTATATTTTTACTGATGAACATTCTTTCTGTCATAATCTACGTATTCAAATTGGGGCACCGTTTGTACTGTATTGTTTTTATTATTCAAGTAATAATTTATATTATCACATGATTAGGAGTGTCTACGCATTTTGATTGGTCAATTGTGATGATGTGTATTCCGTATCACTTGACACGTGACTAATTTTCATGTGATACGGTGAGCTGTATCACTACGGAGTCAATAGCAACGATGTGACGTCACAGATTATATCACTTCTAGCCAGAGGGGGAGAAACACCAGGGTTCAAAGATGACATACGCTTATAATGTAAATCTGTATTGAGATGACATCGTCGCTGATTGGTCAAAAGTCGACAAACAAATGACGTCATCAATGGCGGTTTCAAAATTTTCGAAATAGGCTTCGAATAATATTACGTTCATTTCTGGAGTGTTAATCAATATCATAGCTTCTCATTTCACATCAAGATAAAGAAAGGTGTACGGAATATGCCTATACCAATTAAAACATCCCATCGAAGTGAAGTATTTGATAACTAGCCGATGAAAATTCGAACGAACGAAGGTGGTAAGCAAGAGAGGTAATTATGCCTGTCATCTTTAAACTCTGGGGCTTTCCCTCCTCTTACTTCTAGCTAAGGAAAACAATATGACGACATACTATTTCACAAAAAAGTACGAATACAACGGTATGACGTCATATTGTTTCAAAGCAAAACCAAAAATTATAATAGTTTCCAGGAATACAGAGTACTGAAAACAATCATAACTGACCAAATCAAAATGCCTCAAAATTCCTAGACATGTGATACATGAAATATTCCACTCGAGTAACAATGTATCACCACTCAAGCTTCGCCTTCGTGGATGATACAGTATTACCTTTTGTGGAATATTTCCTGTATCACATGCAGAAACGTGTGATAACTGATAATACAATTTAAGTACAAGCTTTATTTAATTCAAGTAGTCCTTTCATATAGATATATACAGGGTGGGCCAAAAAACACCCCCTAGCCACTATTCCTGATTAATATTTATTTTTTAACATGTACACCAATAATGATATATCATTTTAAAGATAATTTAATTTGCAACAAAATGATATATAATAGCACCATTTTCAACAGCCCCATATAGAAATATAACCAATAATGTGACATGGGGGTCAAAAATACCTTTTCAATTTTCAGCGATTTTGCGAACAATAGCCTATTTCTACCAAATTCCACTGTTCAGTTAATAATTGCAACATTGTCATGAGTCTTTCATAATTGGATATTATATATTGTTTTCATTCAGTTTTTGAACCATGCATGCTCAATAAACATGTGTATGCTTATAAAAAAATTAATTTCTTCTTCAGTCTGTCCAAATATGGCTCAATAGGCCCACCCCCCGGACCCATCCTCTGATCGGATTATTCGCTTAATATGCGGAAGCCATTGCATATGTGTTGATTCTAAAAATTAGATGCACTTTGCCCGTTTTCACCCGATTGCGAGTTTACGGACGTGATACAACGGACTAGCCATACTGAGCATTAAATTATGATCATGAGAGGCTGTTGGTTACATGTTGTTACGATACTCATAAGAACACATTGAATTAAGTTATTATCATCATTATCAAGTTATTATTAGCCGCACTCTCAACATTTGAATGGTTACTATCATTAGCTTGAGGTACTCGAAAATTAACTAAACACACTGAATTAATTATCAATTTGTGTTGATTTTAAAACTTAGACATCCTCTTGAACCGTGGAAGCACTTATTTTAGAACTTCTCTGCCTATATAGGTAACCCCTGTCATCATGACTACGCGAAGGTACGTTTAATGTAGCGTCCGACGTATGTTTTCGCCTCTTACTAAAGCACTGTATCAGGTGCCCTAATCCTTTGCATATATCTTGAGCGAGTCTTTGACTATCAAGCAGAATAATGGCGATAAGGCCGATTAACATGAACGCCAGTGGAATCGACCCAATAACAGGGGCGGCGAACGCCTCTTCCGGTTCATACACGTATTTCTTCACAGGCGTATAGACCGGAGTTTGCGTTGTACTTGGCTTCAGTTGAATAGGTCGCATCACAACAGTTGTTGATTTAACACGTACTAACGTGCTGTTTACTGGTTTGATTGCTTCATGAGATTCAGTAGTAGCAGTATTAAATATTCCACCTATTTTATCAGTTGATACATGCTTTAAAGTTGTACCACTAGTTGAAGTAGAATGTGGTATAAGAGTAGTTTGCCCGGTCGAGTCTGATATCGATTCAGTACTGATGCTAGTATTATGATTTTCAGTAGTTTGTTCAATTGTTGACTGGTCTATAGTTTCACTAGACACAGAAGTACTAGTAAGTTCTGTTATTTTAGACGTTGTTTGTGACGTTTCTAACGTTTGTGAAAAAGTTACACCAGGTATAGTACTAACTGGGGGTGTATACCCAAGACCATACCTATCCAGGTCATCTGCATAGATGGCACAGTCTTGTCTCTGAGGCCAAAATGTGGCGTTCTCCAAGTTGAAGTAGTGCATGTCGTCATAATACCCTGTAAATAGATAAAATAATGTCACGCAAACGTTACATATACAGGGTGTCCCGAAAGTATGGGGCCCCCCCTAGGCAGACATATTCCAGTGTCATCATAGTATGTGTTATATATCATTTTAAAGCTTGTCCAAAGTTACATTGATTTGCCAAGTATCATGGTTTAACTCCCAAATGGGAAAAAGTTACAGTCATTTTAAAAGTTAGTGTTTTGTCAAAATAAAGTTCGATTTCACACCACATTACTAGTCAATGTGTCCCCCTTGGCCATGTTAACAGCGGCAATTATTTTCAGATATGACCTCAAAAACCCTTCAAATATAGGAGTGTGGAATTTTATAACCCTCTTAAAACCTGTTAGGGGACTTTAGAAGAGTTTTCTTAGAGTTTCTACCCTCACTGTTCTCTTTTTCCAACTCAATATCCATCTGACCCAAAGGAATTGCTGCTGTTAAGATGGCCTGGGAGGACACATTTACTAGTGATTTGGCATAAAATTGAACTTAATTTTGACCAAACACTAAATTTTGAAATGCCTGTAACTTTTTCAGATTTGAGAGTTGAACCATGATACTTGGTGAATCAATGTAACTTTGGATATGCTTTAAAATGATATATGACACTTACTATGACGACACTGGTATATGTCTGCCTAGGGGGGGGGGGGCCCATACTTTCGGGACACCCTGTACAGTATCTGCACGATCGTCAGAATACGCTGGAGTATTAAAATGAATAAACTAAAGGAGCGTTCTGCCAAGACAATATGTTTATCTTCCAAGACAATACAAAATTAATATATAGATAGATTTATCCCGGCTATGGTATCAATAGAGAAATAGGGTAGGGATCGATACCAGTCATAGTTTTCTCTTGATGACCATTGTGAAATATTGTGTTAAATGGATCATGACGTCGGCTTCGCGGATGGATGTTGACCCTTTGATATGCTTATGAACTTCGAGTTTGGATTTTGTCTGTCTCACATCATTTGAGACTGAATGCTCTATCCTACTTCAAAATTATTTACTATCTACAATTATTTTTGAATGATGTTCATGAGCATTGGCAATTGATTTTGAATTTCTTTTTTAACATGTATTGTAATGACTCCAGTATGAATGCAATATCCCTTGATGTAGCGGTCTCGAATTGTGATAATCGTACTTCAATGGTAAGGGGAGGGGGGGGGGTATTAAACATTGTTTCTTTTCACTTGAGGTTATGGTTTGGAATAGTTGGGTCTCTTTCCTTGGGATGATCCTTATAGGCAGATAAAGATCTTAGAATGTATAGCAATTCTCTATAATGTGGTACTTTTTACCATATATCTTGCTCACAACATTCCATGTCGAACTTTTAAGAAACTAACCTTTATCAATGACACAGAAGAACCCATTAGCTCCTCCGCTGCATTCTCGGGGAACAGCCAGTGATTGGCCCCGGCGTTTGGTGAAACACCACGTGCCGTCCTTCGGCACCAGTGAAACGTTTACGTACTTTTGTACCTGTTCGATGATGTACGTAATATTTTGATTACCATAAGCCTTGTATTGCCCATCAATGTACTGCAAACTAAACCAAACATTGTCGTCTACTTTGAGCTTGTCGCCACCACTATACCTGAAAGTAAAGTTACATTGAACATGCAGGGACATTACTTTTGCAACATCCTTCGAATGTATTCCCTTTGATTCAAATTGAAATATATGTGGATGAATTTTACCCTGCGCTCGGAGGATGGTTGTTGGGTACACACTTTATAGTATTAGTAATTCTTTACGATGTTATGTCCTTACAATCCTTGAGTATATAGCTGATCAATCATCTCATCTGTGACCATGCCTATTTGTCCTCCATGACCTCTGCAACCACGTGTCGCTGCCTCAAAGTTGGCGCATCTTTTGATCCATGATACCACGCACTTTCCCTTCATTAGTTTAGTTACGTTCAATGGGTCGGGTACATCTTTCACCCATAGCCATCTCGGGGGGCACTTCTCGATTAGGTTTGTTTCCCCTGTAAGATCAAACAATATTTCAATACTGTTCTGCTGGTTACAGCTTACTCACATTAAATCTATGTTTTTGTGTAATGCGGTTCTGGAACAGAAATCAATAGGAGTGGTACTCACCGACTCTGTTGCGGAGTTTAAAACAGCTTTGGTCGACCAACTCATTTGGATCCTGTCTGGGAATGTAAGTCTGAAATACGAGCAACTGAGCATCCGTTTCAGCTAAGTAGCTGATAAAGTCAACACCATTTTTCACAAATCGTTTGAAAGTATGGCATTCATCATTGAATACTCCTACTTCCATGGACCATTTGCCCTTTTGTTTCGCTGCGTCCGATTGTACGTTACTAATTGTGTTATCCTTATTTGCAATTGTAATATTATCCGAATCGTTTATATATTTTACAAAGTATTGTTCATTGTCAGTGGAGGTTGTGTCTAGTTCAATGATCTCTATAGATACAGACCAAAATCCAGGTTTTAATGCTGGTGAGTTGATATAGAATCCATAGGTGGCGCTACTCATCAATCCAAGATGGCGACTTGTGTAGTTGTAAATGGCTGTTGGGTCCATGTTACTATTGAAAACATCATCCGGGAGAATGGCTCCGACATACAAATGTGTGTTACTTTTGGGCTGCATCAGGTATGGCCCGTACCTCTCTGAAACAACATTTTTCAAATAAACGTACATGTACACGTTCAATCAATAAATAAGCTAAAAGTATCTGGTATTTTGTAAATATGGTCCAAACATCCTGAAATTTGGTCAGAATATACCTAGTGCATTTCTTAATCAAAACATATAAATGTGTTTGAAATTAAATCATCATAAAGTACATATGTTTTAAATATAAAGTACTTTTATTTTAGATTTTGGCCGTGTGTGCTTCTTGTCAACTTTTTAAGTGACAGTACTACATGTACTTTGGTTAACTTGCTGCTCTGCTGATGCATTTAGAATATAGAATACTTGGCAAAGAAGTAAGGATTTAGAGTAAGTAGCCGAGTCTTCAAATGTAACGCATCTTGATAAAGATGGACTTCATAAATGCCAAGGAATTCTTTTGTTAATATAAAGAATATGGATTGATAAAGTAGCGCTAGACAAAACATATAAATATAAACGCTACAAACTCAATAGAGTTCTCATTACTAGAGGAAATGTGCGTTTCCTATTGTGGATTATCCAAATAGCCAACTATTGTTAAAAGCTCTTGGATATTCCTAATGCGATATATCAATAGGATTATAAGAAAAATTACCTTCATCATAAAACTATTGTATTTCTGTCATTATTCTTAGAAGATCTATGAAATATGAGACGACATCGCAATGACTTAGCACCCAAGTCCTTAGTTAGTAATAACTCAAAATTAAATAGAAGAATGTGTTTTTTATCTGGGTGTAATACCACGCCATTGTTGGAAGATCGTAAGGAGATATATTTATTATTTCATTTGACTGGAATACTTATAGGTGAGCTTGTGAATTAAGTATAAGATATATACCGAAGATATGATTTCATTGTAATATCACATTTATATTAATTTTAGATTAAAGTAGCACTACGCGTCATTTTTGGTCACGATAGGGATACGAGCCACCAATTACCAATGCTCAATCGTTTAAGATAAAAATTAGTACTATTTTGCAATGCGGCAATACAAACAATACAGCAGTAAACAAAGTATGTATGACAGGTATCAAATATGATTATTAATGTAGCTAGAAAGCAGTTTGAGTTGACATAAAAATAGAATAAATAGGTCTTGACTGTGATATTCATTCAAATCAGAAAACAGTGTAGCTGTTCTATCCTGTATCATTCTTTATTGGATATTTAAAAGCACTGTAAAATTGTGTTTCTGCTCACTTTGCATCGTTGAATTTACAATTGAAAAACATTTAGATAGATAGACAAGAAATAATACCATGCAGCATATTCTAAAATTGGAACACTTTTTTAAAAGTTGCTCGATAAATATTGATTTTATTGCCTTTCAACATTTAATTAAAAAAATAAAAAGATCCTGGATTAATTGAATAGCCTCCACAACAGAAGCGCATAATTCATCCTACTATTCCTTGCATTTCGTGTTCATCAGCAACCCATTTGGCTTATTAATAATGATTATGATATTTGCTTTTATGTGTCTGGTCCTTATGAATGGTTTATCGGATGACTGTTAGATGTTAATAAGGTATTGTCAAAAATATACATTAGACAAACAGAATATATTATGCATTTCTTGGGGTTAGGTATAGTAGTGAATTCCCGGGAGTGAATTACATGCTCCATGTGCGTAGGTCCATCCCGAGTTCCAAGTATCACAGATGAGTATAATATTTGATCCGTACAATCTTCTAAAAGAATTAATTACCAAGAATGTTTAAAATGATCGATTACAGGATACGTAATAAATGAAGTGATATCACGGTCATTGTCGATTAACAAATACTTTGGTAGACTGATAATGGCACCTCAAACAAAGGATATCCATTAGTAAAACGACGCCTCAGTATCGTTAGCAGCACATTCTATGATCGAAAATGAAATATTTATATCCTATTTGTTCTTTTCTTAATCTGTTAATTCAAATCTCAAGGAAATACGTGATTACTACTGAAATAATGACACATTAGCCCAGACAAGTGTCCAATATTCGCATTCATTATTGATACCTTTAATTTAAAGGGACACAGTCAATTTGATTCAAGATTTTTCATCTTTTACATACTGTAGACATTGTTTGGCGAATGGCTTAGTCCATTCTCATCACCAAATGACTTCTTTAGCATCTCATTTTTTCTCATCTCAAGTTTTTTCAGTGATATTTCATACAAAATACAGCATTATATCAGTTCTCTCTTTCTTCTACATGCAGATCTGAAGATTTCAATTCTAAATTTTCAGTAGTGGTATCCTCAATGCCCGTGTCTTCTATCCGTTCACTTTACCTTTAGCAAAAATCATGTAATTAATTCTAAAACAACTTACGAGGCAATGACCGACTACTCAATTTTAAATAAAGCTAAACAAACAATTAACTGAGGTCTTACGTAAACAAGAGTTCAACGTAAACTGCTGTTTTTCTTTTGAACGCGTTTCACATTCTGTCACTCATAAAACGACCTCAAAAAGAATTTATTCAAATGCACTGTCAACGCAGGAATTAAATAATTTCCGGATCATTAACTACTCAAATCTTGTCAGAAAAAGAATGTCCTTTAGTCCATTGTTTATTACTTTACACGACAGTTTTTCCGAAAAAGTATTCCATACTTATTAATACTTAATCCGAATACGCAACCTGCAATAACAATGAATAACAGCGAGGGCTGTTCTATTATTCATTTACTAATTATTCTAATTGTTTTGAAAAAAATAATTAAAATAAAAATTAAAGAAAATGTTTGTTGTCCCCGGAGCTATATACATCATGATTAAGGTAAAAATGTATCTTTTTTTATCATATTTTAATGAAATGAGTTCACAGAAAGAAATGCATGCATATTTCAGCCATAGTAATGTCTGTATTAAGAAGTTCACTCTATCAATCGCTCGCTTTGTAAGTATTCTAATTGAATTACAAAAAGTTTCTTTCAAATTTCTGTTTTTCACCACCCTCTCTCCTACATATAAGATATGGCCAGTGCATTTTGAGACTGAGCACACCTTTGAAGTCCTACAATGCCAACATCATTGAATTCAGACGAGTAATAAAAAATCACAGGGGGAGGGGGGTCCACATGACCCAAATTTGCATTCAATATATTGATATCTAGCTCCAACATATTTTTTCTTGATATTAGTGAGGCAAAACTCATACATCTGATTTGTACATAGAAATAAATCTACTCAACTGTGCAACCTTCAGGCTTCAAACTGGGCAACGCATAATCTAAGACAATCCAGGTGAAACATCACCATCAAATAAAGATAAATCAAGTTGATAGTAAAATTAGAGCAAAAAATCATCTAAAGATATTTTGGACATTCCTCGTATAGCTTACCTCGGACATTACTAATCTACCACCCCTACCCCATATTGTTTGCCTTCTACCCTTTTGATGACACCTCCTTCGCTTACCTGCTTTGGTTAAAGGCTTGATCAGTAAAATCAGCGCCGCAAGGGTGACCACCGTCATATGGATGAGACCCGCACAAAGCATTGCCATCTTCGCCCTTAGAAGCATAGTGATCTGGAGGCGGTTTTGGCTATCTGGCTCGTTCGTATAGTTTGCTGCTTTTTGTAGTAAGTCCCTTTTGGAGATTAACCTTCACTGTTTCTGGTTATACAAATACATAAGTTGTCTTTCTTTTTACGATCCACCAAATCTTCCTCAAAATGACTTGTTTAAATACGAAGTAGAATCGAGGTCAAACGATATACTAAACGGGGAAAAGTGTAGCAAATATTTTGAAGACGTTCTTGCTAAGGCTGTGAACATAGTTGTATATTTAGCGGTCCATTCGTGGTTGTAATTTCGGTATATGTATATTTACTTCATTACCTGCACGTTACCATATTAGCTTTGACGTATGCCCTTGCGATAATAGTTCATACCGTGACATGGTTCCGGTGGGTACTTCTGCTTCTCCATGTCATCTTGAAATCGGTGGGGTACATGCGGCACATCTGAATCCGCTTTTAAACCTGTGTTCGCTTCTTGCATCTATATGAAGTTATACACTTCAATAAAGGAGAACTCCATTATGATGCGTTATCCTGTTCAAAATGTGTTTTATATAGACTGATAGATGCTTACAGTAACATTAATGTGTCGTAACTATCAATGCGTTGTTTTGTTTGAAAAATAAGTCATCAATTTTGTGTTTGATATGACGATGACGACAACGTCCTAATCCTTTGTTTTATAGTGTTTTTGCTACCTTTGCCGTTTTCCTCTTTCTAAATTAATTTTTCCTCTATCAATCACATCATTATACATTTCATTACACCACGGACCCGTAAATACATTAGTAATGAGCATACTGACGTATATTGATTATCAAATAGGTAAAATAAGATCCGATATCGAGAGTGCTTATAGCTATTCAAGAATAGTTAACCATTAGGACGAGTAGGGGCTACTGCATCGCATTGTCCGTTTTTGTTCGTCAAATAAGCCGGAGAATAACTTTCTAAAGATTGTCAAAATTTTAGAATATTTCTGCTCAAAACGTTTCTCCCTGAAATGTTTTACAATTCTCACTTTATCTTATGCTAATATTTTAATATCGGCAATGATTTAATATAAACAGTGCACATCCTCATCATAATTCCAATGGATCTGGATATTTGCAAATCCATATATTTAGTTTTTCAAATGTTTAAAAGAAGAAAACTGTATACCGTAAATGACTTGTGCAATACTAATGTAACTTTATTTATGTATTTCTATCTGTAATCTGAATATTGATAAACATGTATCTAGTCTCTCGTAAGCCGGGGACGGCTGGGCGTACAATCCTAGCTTTCTAAAAAACTATTTTTAAATATGTATATATGTATGTGTGAGACTTAAATAAACTATTTTACTACATTACTACGACGACTACTTTAATCAGATATATCGATTCTATTTTCAGATGCACAATGAATTAGGATTGTAAAAGGGAATGGTTTTGTGGAAGGATTGCGCTCCAAACATTTTACACTCTTTTCTAACACTATAATCGTGGTTTTTTATGGTAATGTAAAAATATGACACATGAGTGTATGACAGAGACCCGAAAAGGCCAAGAATCTAACCATAGGCCTCGGTGAAATCATCTCAACATGATAGGAAAACTAAGCGACTAATATAGAAATGAAAAGACAAGCCCTGCCCAATATTTTATTGAAACGCCCAGTAGTCAATCTTCGAAAATAAAAACAAGGCAAACTCCTCCAAACAGTACAGTAACTGGAGTACAATTTTTATCTGATTTATAACAATTAAATCACTTTTTGTGAGACAATGAAACCATTAAAGTACACATTAATTTCACGCTTGAGTATTTTTCTATTTTCATTCGAACTAATGCAAGACATATAAACCTGTCAAATATGATCAATAAATAAGTAATGTATGCAAAGAAATGAAATTTAACGTACAAGTACTACTTGTATGCGTAAACTTCTAAGTTAACATGCAGTTGATCGGGTGGTCGAAGCAGGGCGCTCTTTCAGGTACACCAATACGACGGCGTATTATATTTCTTAGTTGGGTTTACATGTGCCATTATGTGAATGTTGTTGCGTGAACAGTTTGAAAATTGAAGCATTCGAAATGACAAAAATACGAAAAGAAGTTTGGACTGCTACCTGCTACCGACTGCTATCTGGTATTTCAATCTGTTAATACAAATAAAACCATATATAAATGTAAAACAACGTTTATGTTCCTATTTAAATAAATGTTGGATTATTAAAAATAAAAAGGTTAATAACAACTATCCCGAACACTTTATTCCGACATCATTGAATAGACAATCATCGAAAGTGTTGCTCTAATGAAGAGATAGCATTTTGCATATGGAAATTGGCAACATTAATACCTCATAACATCATAAAACATCCGTAAAATAGTCAATAAGTCGTAAATCTGAGTCGATTAAGTCTATGCTCGATGAAGCACAACACTGGTGATAATATTAATGGAACTGTTGCGGAGAGATTATGGATGAAGGTATTAGGCACGTACATTAGATTGCGTTAAGGTGGGTGAGATGGATCGAGTGGTAATCGATCGGGCTAATTGATTGAAGCAGGTCGAGTTACTTTCTATCAGATTGATTCTCATCAGAAGTAGATTAAAAAATGGACAAAAAATTACCCAAAACAAACACATTAACACGTTTACATAACAACACTCGTTTTAAGAGTGTAGATAAAGTAAATATGGTTATTCAAATGAGGAAAACCGTTGGATGGGATGGGGCGGGGTGTACGACATGCAAAATGCTCGAAATGTCCCACCTTAAATAGCTGAGCATCTCATTAAAGAATAAGTAAGCTGAAAAACAAACTATAATAGTGTCACTGAGAGGCATCAATAAAATATAAATAAATGACCATATTTCACACTTATTTTTATGGGAAATGGATTGCTGTTTTCCTGCAGATTGGGTGAGTTGGGACAGTGAAAGGCGATATTTGTTTTAATAGTTGCTTAATTCTCATTGCATTACCTGTCTGGGCATGGGTAACAGAGAACATAATGTAGATATTGCAGGGGGATAATTTTGGACTCTCATGGATTTTAAGCCGCTGTTGTTACTTTATTTTAATACAATCCTAGTACGTTCAGCCGTTGAACTCATAATTTCACAATAAGTTTCATGTTTTTATCTAGTTTTTAATCTAGTATCTACGTATAGAGCTCACATTCAGAAAATACTAAAATCTTCCTATCCAGTTTTATCAATTAACTAATAGTTTGGAATTCAATAACAATTTATTGGAATGAATAAAATTATTAATGTTACAGGACTATGACCACATAAATATTGTCCGTTATTTATCATCTGTAGGTAATTAGAAACTCGTCAAACAAAAATCTGCTTTAGTACTATCTAGCATATTATATTCTCATGAGCAGCTAATGCCTTTAATTCTTTGAGTATAACCTTCTTAAATATGTCTTAATCGTTGAGAATGACAACCCGTTTTTGTGATTTATATCTGAAATGAAGACATTTTTCTGCAGTCCAATGTATAAAATGGATCCAAGTCTTTTCATCAGGTATGCATTGTGTACAATGTGCATGTCGTATCCATTTTGTTCTATATTGGATTAAATAAATATCAAACTGTCTTTCGGTACTGTGAATCCTGTGTAAATGTTCCACTCTGTAGGTGTTTCACTTACAGAGGCTCATTTAACATTAAGACAATGGATCGTGGGTCTCTGAAGTGTTCCATTTACAAAGGTGTTCTACTTTCACAAGTTTTACTGTACATTCTATTTACAGTATCGATCAGCCTTCATTTTCTCTCTCCTGTCCAACATTACTTCGTGAAAGTCCCCTGATTTCTTAGCCTTTTTCAATGCAGAAACATCTTCCTTACTAATAAGTAACCTCCGATCTTCAAAGCTTTGGAATTTTTTCCTGGAATCAGATTTTCAGAATGAGCTGTTGCAGAAACTTAATGCTTTGATTAAAATTATTCCATGGATTTGATACTATTAGATGATTTTTTGACTCTGGATTATGCTACATGCATTTCTTCACTTTTAAAAATGGTAAATATACATTCAGAATTTCTAATATTACATTTCCTTCCATACTTCCTAGATCCTATTTTTTAGACACTTTATTTTAGGCTTCTAGGGTTTCAAAGAGTTCAATCTAGGCTTGTCTATCTAATGAACCAAATGTTCATCTTCAATGATATAGGTCGCATTGATCAACATTGTAAAAGTGATATTTTATTCTTCGGAGAGGGCTCTCACGTTTTTTTGTTTTTTTTTGTATAAATTTGTGAATGTAACTCTCTTGTTATTAAGAGGCAAATAAATTATACATACCGTATTCTCTGTAATTAGCGCCCAGGGCGTTTAGAAAATTGAAAATACATTATTTAGACCATTCTAATAAGCGCCCATGTATGAAAGAAATCAGAAATCCCGAGGAATTTCATGTATGGCAATTTTTCTTGACAAGAATGCATTTTCTTCAACATATTTTTATAATAATATGACAAGTGCTGTTATTGGAGAGAATACGGTAAAGATCGCTTAGACAATATTGACAGTGGTTGAAGACCCGTCTATGTCTAATTTATTTCCGGCACGCCCACTTTGTCATTATCGCCGATTACCTTCAATATTTCCACTAGAGACTGCTGGATATCGATCTAAAGTTATACATTATTTCTAATTTGATGAGAGATCATCATTATTCGTGCAAAAGTCGTGTAAAAGTCGAGAAACATTAAAAAGAAACCAGAAAGTTCACGACCTTGACATGCGCAGAACATCTGCGCAGTAGCTTTTGAAATTTCTGAATGCCGATAAAGAACAATTCCTTCATTCATTATGGACTATTTGGAGACAATATTAGCATGGTATGGTGTGGGAAGCACCCATCGATAGATATGTATCGAGAGGATGCATAGAATTACAAAACGCGTCGTGTTTACAGCAGTTTTAGGGTAAGTACTCTATTATCGCCCGCTCCTGGATTTTGAGAAATATTTTTTTCCTGATATATTCTTCAATTCTTGTTGATTCCTCGATGTTTCTTGAACTTTGTGAAGCGGGGTGGGCGCTTATTAGAGAGTGGGCGCTAATTACAGAGAATACGGTACATACAATACAACATACAAACTCATTATAGTGACTATGTAGGAGTTTCTTGCAAATCAAAGCTGTTTTGGTAAAATACACAAACACTTAGAAAATGAGATATTGTAAACTTACACATAATTTATTTCTGTGTCTTTTATTTTGCCCTTTTCCTCTTTGGGTATTTCACTGACATACTCCTTAACTGCATTAGACCGAATCTAGAAAAAAATAAATATAAAAATAACAATGTACAACTATTATATGAATCATTCAATGTTTTGTGTAAAAGTCAGAAAAATACCATATTTCAAAATCTGTATCCATATTAGCCACAATAATGGTAATTGCTTACAAGACACAGTTGTAAATATCACACTTTATCTATATTTGTTAAAAAATTCAAAGACCTTCAAATAATTTACCCAGCATGCCCAAAATCTTGGCATCTATTCTTGCATCTGTATAAATTCAAGTCTTTTTTAATAAATCTTTCTTCTCACATATTATTTTACAGGTTTACTGTAGGGGAGAGAGAAAGGAAAGATTGTTGTTTTTTGTCACTTTGTATAAAATGATGATAAATTCAAGTTGAATAGGTGAGCAGTTTTACTGGAATTTTGATGACAAGATTTATGTGGTGCGCTCACACACCAAGCAACACAAGATGATGACAATAAAGCACTTTGAAAAAGTGGGATTCAAATACTCACTGCAAGCATCTCTTCAGTCCCAGCAGTCTTGCTCCTACACACAATGTCCCCTGTACTTTCCTCCTTTGACAGGAAGCAACTGTTGCAACCCAGAAGAGCAGTTTTACCCTGGAACAATGTGATAACAGAATCAGTGTCAGTTTGAAGACACAGTTATGCTTCATTCAAATATTTTGACATTTGTTTTATAATGAAGAAACATATCTGAAAGTTGGTACTAAAAATCTCAACCCAACAAAAAATAAACAATCATAGAAATGAATATCCTTTGCTTGTTAAAACTTTGGGCAGAACCCCTTAACTGCCAAATCATCTTTAAAAACTGATCCAATCTTAAGCTTAAATGCTATAAACTGGTTGGCATCTAACTCTGAATTCTATACTAATTTACCTCAAAATTTGAAACCAACAAGAATGCCATCAAAAAATTCAGAAATATCAAAATCAGAATACCAACAACTTTTTGAGTCATGAATAATAATATTTGAATGATAAAACAATGTTTTCAAACTTTGCAAGAGGCCTTTGAAATGGCCTGAACTCGGGTTCTATGCTAGTGTACCAAATTGTAATCAACTACATCACCAGGAAAATTTACCTCTTGGAATACTGGTTCCCATTGTTCTCTGCTACCAATGGCGTCAGATCTGCCTACAACTTTACCATCACTGTCTACGCTGACATACTTTCCATAGCCTGATTTCAGTGCAATCTTTGTGTCTGATATATACACTGCTGTGATTTCTTCAGTGGGATCAGGTCCTTCACCTATAGACACAACGATATATCCTCATTACAAAGTCGACTAGTTAAGACATATTGCTGGCCAGAATTACAATTTTCTTTTTTCATTTTGTTGATTTCAATTATTTCTATAAATACTTCAAAGTTCTTCATTGCATGCTGTAAATTGTATGTACTTAGGTTGCTCTGCAACACAATCTGATATTGGCTCTGATACTCCCACTGACTTAGGGTGTCGAGTGTAAATGTTTTCAATGTTCCAATATGTTATATATTATGAAAAGACTAAACATAACTGTTTGTTGAATATTTAGTATGATGTTAATATCTCAGGAGGGCAAAGCATAGTCTTCTGGAAACAAATGTTATTAAAATATTGCCTGACACAAATTTCAAGAATGCCAAGACTATTAGATATTAAAATAAATCTGTACTTTAGCAATTTGCTATCATAATGAATATCTCACTTTCCTTATATTGGCCTTTATCAGATGTACTATCATGAGGCTAGGCTGAAACTTTAATGACTGAAGTGTCATAAACTATTTCTAAAACTTTTATTGAACTTCCATCCAAACATACGAGTACTGTGTACAATATGTACATATTTGGGAACATGACCATGTCTTTTTGAAACATTTTCTCCATTTCAAATCAGATTTTAAGACGGTTGAAATATTGCCCCAAAGTTATTGTACTTTCCAAAATATGCAAGTTTCAACCTTGGATACACAATTTTTTCATTCCCCTCCTCCTACACACCTATTTCTCTATGAGGGCCAGTGGAGAACAAACCATTGTCTTGTGCTTGAATATAACAATTTTCTCCCAGTTCTATCGCAATGGATCCTGTGATTTCCTTATGCTTGCTCACTCGCCACCAGCCACCTAAAACGAGGTGTTCAACATTAAAATGTAAATAATTTCAGTGAGACAAAAACACAACAATCTTATTTTTTTGTGTCAACCCTTGCATAGCCAAAGTAAATCAGTAGATTATCATATTACCTACTTCAGTAATTTTGCTCTTTAAGTGACCCCATAGATTGTTTATTTGCACTTCTTTATATTTTTTGCAGTAAAATTTTCTCTTGAAAATATAGTCAACTTTACCATGTTGTAATGTATCTGTGGCATCCCCATCTCCCCCCTCTGTCTCTTCGTGTTTACGCTTCTTGTGTTTCTTATGTTTCTTCTTGCTGAAACAGAAACATGTGCATTCAATAACATAAAAATGTGAACTTATTTAGGCCAGGTGGCACTGTACAAATCCACAAAGACCTTACTATTTTCAGATCTTTTCATCTCAATTAGGCTTGAAGAAATACCACAATATTGTTATCACAGATTCATATTTTTCTCACTCCATTGAAAAACAGATTTAGTCAAATTGGTATTTTCAGAAGCACAGACAAATTATTAAGCAACAAAACATGTGAAATGTGAACACTATTACAAGACAATTCAGTCGTTAATTTTATCACGTCTAAAACGTTATCTTTACAATTCCGAAACGTTAACATGCTTATGTTATGTTGTCCCTTCTCCATAGTTAACTCCACTTTCTACATTTACGGTCATTTATGGCAATTTTTTTAGATAAATACAGTTAAAATATTTACACGATCTTTAGACTAGTGAATATTATTCCACGTTGTTGAATGGATTGTCTATTTAAACGTAAATAAATAACACTAAATGCAAATTAAGTCCATATTTCTGGCACTTTTGGTATATAATTGCGATTGATATGAAGTATGATGGATCTATCCCCAAAATAGATTCGTGGGTATGAAGAAGAACATCTAAGGTAGAAGTCAAGATATGTAAGTTTGTAAAATATAGAATATTCTTATCTTTTTGCTCCATTCTATCGAATGTCGCATCCCATGTTTTTACAAAACACGACTAAAGAGTTTGAAAAAACATGACCGGGCCAATTTGCACTGTTAACTCTTGGTCACCGTGTGTATCGGCATTTCACAAAAAAAGATTTTTAAAAAATTCAACAAAATGCGTGATTTGCGTGATATTTGATCATACACGCTGAATTGATGCGTGATTTCTATTTTTCCAGCAAATGCGTGACAATCACGCCTAATGCGTGAGGGTTGACAGGGCAGTACTATAGCTATGAAAATTACATGCTGTCGCATAAACTCTTACCTCAGTGTATTCAGTGCTCTATTTTCTCCGTCCTAGTAAGTCAAAATATAGTGAAATTTGTGTCCATAATGACAAATAAGAACTTAAAAAGTTGAAGTGGATATTCACATGTTAATGCCGACTCTTCAAATGTTGAGGTGATTTTGGAGCCCGATTACGCCGCAAGGGAGGATTGACTCCCAAAATGCAAATATGACACGTGCCAGCTTTCAAAATGGTGGAACGCCATTTTGAAACCTGTCACGAGTAAATAAGGTTAACTTATGTTGCATTCTGGGAGTCAATCCTTCTTGGATCACAAACATGGCGATTCATGAAAACATTCTTTCGATTTGGTAGGGATTTATCCATCATTTGCAGGTATAAAGCTTTGGATTCATTTATTGTGCTACTTCAAGTAAACGGGAATTATTTTTCTACCACTTGGGAGAGTTTGAGACACGAAACTTATAAATTAGCTCATTGTGACAACTTTTGATGGTTGAGGTTTATTTTTGTCCCCCACTTTACATGTAGGTCTAACCTAGTCTAGGCTTATCCTGTTCCCGGACTTTGGTCCTGTACGGAGCCCATACATTTGCCTGTACGATTACAACTTGGGAGAATTATCTACGCCCCTTCCACTTAAGAAACCTACCTCAATGCATTCTAGAACTCAAAATGTAACTTCTAATATATTGGAACCGCCGATTGTCTGGGTTAGTTGGCAGAACGAGGTCTTTTTGTTTCTTATGGCTCTTTTGGTCGAAGTTCGATTAAGATGGCGGTTATAACGGAATTTCCCGAACTCTTCCGTAATAGCACGAACTTGGTTTTTCGTAACATCACTTTCGTGTAAAATGGATTTGTTTCCGGTAAGAAACATTGTTTAACCATTCGGTATACAGTTAAGAGCATAGGATGTCGACATGGCAGTAAATATTGAAAATATTGTCCGAAATTTTCGAAATTCCCTCTTACCGGTGACAAATCCATTTTACACGGAAGTGACGTAACGAAAAACCAAGTTCGTGCTATTACGGAAGAGTTCGGGAAATTCCGTTATAACCGCCATCTTAATCGAACTTCGACCAAAAGAGCCATAAGAAACAAAAAGACCTCGTTCTGCCAACTAACCCAGACAATCGGCGGTTCCAATATATTAGAAGTTACATTTTGAGTTCTAGAATGCATTGAGGTAGGTTTCTTAAGTGGAAGGGGCGTAGATAATTCTCCCAAGTTGTAATCGTACAGGCAAATGTATGGGCTCCGTACAGGACCATAGTCCTGGAACGGGATAAGTCTAGGCTATCTATAAAATAAAAAAATATTATTAGTTCTTACGTCTTTTCTCCTTTAAGCTTTAATTTTCCCCCTTTCACGAAGCTGTATGCATCTGCCATCACCTAAACGGTTAGAAACACTTACTCGAAGGCCAGATTATCAAGTAATTTGAGTTAAAAACACATTTTCGCTTGCTTTTTTAGATTTTAATTTTTTAAGCAACCGGAAGTGAAGATTGCGGTGATACATTCACTAATTGTGCCAATTGAGTCACGAAATAATGACATTGCTAGAATCAGGATATCTTTGTTACTTTTACTTCTGTGCGCCATAGGAGTCTTCAAAACGAGATAATTCATAATAGTTATAAATTAAATGAAATTATACAGGGCAAATTGAAGCTTGCACAATTTTCATTTTATAATTTCGTTTCCTTATCAAGTTGCTCATTTCGTTGATAAGTGGCGACAGTAAACAACATAGACGAAAATTATGGCTACACTAATTGAAAACTGATTTATTATCCTGATACTGTTTTAGTGCACCATATCGACATTGATAGTTTGTTAAATTGGGACAGAAAACATTCTAGAATTACTGTACATTGCGTTTTTAACATCCCGAGGGCGAAAGGCAAACACCTGTCCATTGACAATTGAAATTATCAGTGTTCATTGTTCAATGTGATTGTGAGTGGATGAATTATATAGGAAAACTGTAGACTACGGGATAACAGTATTGCTGTCAGAAAACGCTGTTTTATCATGGTTCTCTTTATCAATGTGAACGTAGGTCAACGTGTAGAGGTTCTGTATAAAGGAGATGTCCACCTTGGTACGGTGAGATACAAAGGGGGTGTGGTCAATAGACGAGGAGACTGGGTCGGTGTGGATCTTGACAAGAAAGGTACATAAACAATAACATTGCAATTGAAATCTGGCGTACTGACTTTATTATAAGTAAACCTTGACTTTGAATTATCACACTTACAGTATGGCTTATACATTATAGTGGTCTACAAAGATGTGATAAGAACTTGCATATGCACTGTATGCAACTAAATCTTTGCATTGGTATTTTCAAGTAGGCCGTACCTTTTTAGGCGAACTATATAGATTCAACTGAGAGAAACGTACATAGGATACAATGTAAATGTAAATGTAGATGTATACATTTACTTTATTGCTAGTAATTGTAACCTATATTGAAATATAGTGTTTATTTTTATTTGTACAATTCATTGTACAGTGTACAAATACACAGTCTTATTTGGTATTGCATGTTGTTTTAAAAAATTAGGCTATAAACAGGCTTAAAGTTAATTATGTCCTTGCTTTTATCCAGCCGGCAAACACAATGGCACTGTGCGTGGCAGTCGTTACTTCCAGTGCAGGGAGGGTCATGGGATATTCACTCAAGCTCAACATATTCGATTCATTCCAATGAAAAGATGGTAAGTAATAGTACATATACAGTGTAGTACTTGAAAAAAGTAAATTTAAATGACCAACGACCATATCAAAGTTATTTTCTCATATTTTTTTGTATCGATAGTTGATATTCATCCCTTGCAAATAGGCTTGCGCCGATTTTAAGTTGAATAAATATTTGAAAAGGAATAGGCTTAACCTATATGATCATTTACATGTCAGTCGACATGTTATTTATCTATTTAAATTGAAAATTGTGTCAATTGGCAACAACATTGCAATGTTAAAAGCAATCGTTTCAATTAAACTGGCAATACAATGTATTGTATAATCAAGACACAGTTTAAAAGATTTGTGATAGCATCATCAAATATATTATATGGAATATTTAAGATTCAGCATTATCCAGATTCAATCAACTAACAGAATTTCTAGCTGGGCTTTCGGGTAAAAGCTTTTGTTGGCAATCAACGTTGAAAACTGAAGAACTGCACGTTAACTAGAAATTGTCCGAGCTCTAGAACTGTATAGATGACATGCAGTGCTATGAGCAAAACATAATTTTAAAACTGTGATCGTTTTATGTTACGTTAGATGCGCGCAGCACAGTAAGCTTACATGAATATTTAATTCATAAAGCTTAAAGGCTTTATATACTACTACTTTTCCCTTGCCTTCGCCATTAGTGTGTAGGGTATTAGTGTGCATTATAGACCTAGGCTATTCTGTGCTGCCTAGTAATATATATTTTATACTAAACAAATCCTACCTGGATTAATAAGTAATTGTATGCTGCACATTGCGCCCATTGCTTATCTGTTTTTTCTATTTCAAAAATGGCAAAATTAAGATTTTAAATATATTACATGAGTGAAGAATATAAACTGGCCCAACGCTATTAGCCCTGTATACCAAATGGAACATCAAGTGATGACTTTTATTGACCATTTCAGCATGTTTAATCGTTACCATACTGTTGAACCAGAGGAGGAATTTGCCGAAGAAGACTTGTTCAATACATCACCAAGTGAGTAACAATCGCACGCTATTTCAATTTACTCATCATGTCGAATTACTTTTTTATTACATTGTATATAATGTTTTATACCACTCTAAGTACAATTACAGTTGTATAACATGGGTCTATAACAATGATATACTGTGGAGAGTGGTATATCGTCATCGTATACAACTCCTCCGTATACACTCCAGCGTATACCACTGTAGAAGTGCATTCTGGGAACTAATGATTTCCTAGAATCAAGTGACGTCATAAATGGTTCCGGCATGATTTGCTAGAATCAAGCCACGTCATAAATGGTTCGAGATCAACATCAGCATTATTGAGTTGGCTATGGGATATTTTTAATTGAACTTAGAGTGGCATAATAAGATTATATAATGGTTCATTCTGTATATCGTGCATTTTATACTCTCGTGAGAATATAATATATTCACTCGTTCGCTACGCTCACTTGTGAATATATCATATACTCACTCGAGTATAAACACGATATACAGAAAGAACCATTATATAACCTCATAATATTGTACGTCATGGCGTGGCACTTTAGTAAAACGATTCTACATGTATACAAGAGATGGTACAATTGATTATCTCCATTTTTCATCCTACTTCTCATTCAACTCCTCCAAACTAAATGAATGAGATTTATGAATAACATCACCCCAAATAAAATATATATGATGTATGTTCCCCTCTTCACGTACTGAAGCATGCCAAAATATCAAGTATACGATTGTTAAAACACTACTTTTCCTTATCATATAACATATTAATTATATCACTACTAAAATCATCTTCTAGGACCAGATGTTCGAGATAGCCCCTATGACCCAATCCGGATTTCAAGATCTTACAGTGAAGACGCAACAGAACTTTTCCCAGGTGTGTATATGTATTCAATTGTTTTATTACATTAATTTCGAAGAGTATATAATACATGTATATACCTTCCCTGAGAGTACGATTTTTGCCAGAGTTTCAGAATTTGTCAACATTAAGTTTACTTCCAGATACAGACTTCCAAACAACTTACCATTTTAACCCATATACAAAGACACAATTTAATATTAATTTTAGTTTTATTGGTTGCAACTGATGAAAATAAAGTTTGATTCAAAAGAAATAAAGAATCCTTTATCATTCTTAATTGGAAACTTAACGGCATGTCATGTTCAAAGCATGTCATGTAGAAACCGGACGCATAATGGACGAGAATGGGTTAGTACCACATGATGGATGCTTTTAAATACGATTAAGAACGATACACGATACAGGGCTCCTCAATGGAATTCAAATATAACACCAATCCTTTAAGCGTATTGAAATGATCCAAATATAACGCACCATGATGTACCTCTTAAAAGGGGTAATAATGTCACTGGCATTGCTCAGTTCATTGTGAAACCATAATGCACTGTAAATAATGTTTCAATTCAGTTGACCATTTACCTTGAATTAATGCACTGGAATACTACTGACTAGCTTACATACACTTAGCATACTTGAACTATTGTTTTTCTATATGTCGTCGCATGAGAATAACTTTGTACTATCTCACATTTTTACGGAACTGAGAAATCAAGGTTTGAAAGTTTAGAGGTCTGTATCTTACTTAGTATTGCTATGTGAAACTTGATTTTTTGTATGTCACCTGGTCTCACCCTAGAGATATCTTATATGAAATATCATACCTTGAAACAATTTACAAGATCCTTTTTTAAAACTATGGAAATGGAGTTGATACAATTTCCCACCGGAATAACAGCTTATTTCTAATTTCAAATTGTCATATCTGATATCAACTGTTTCAACCAATCAACTCTCTAAGAATTGGTCATGTGACTTGCAAAACTTGGAGTTATAACAATCTTATATTAAAACAAAGTATGCCAATATGCATGTTATTGTATCTAGAATGAAAAATAATGTTTTGCTTTGTAAAAAGGTCTTCAAAAACCAAAGAATATTATTTAATAAAATAAAGAAAATTCAATTTATAAAACTTTAAAATCAATTTCTCAAATAAGTACAATTATTTCTTAATTTTGGAATCTCAGGACACCCTTCAAAAAGAATGTATTGCCTTTGAAACTAAGGCAGAAGTACAATGCATTGAAACCAATGATGCCAATACGGTCCCCCACATATTTCCCTCAGTATAAACCCTGTAGCCTAAACCTCCCAGCACATTACAATGTAGCCCCTAAGGGCCGGTCCGCTGGTCATTATCAGGTTATTTTTGATACAGACCAGTTGATTTTTTTACTGGGTATAGGAGAATAACATTGCAACTGGTCCGTAATTCCATTTTGACCAGCAGGTTTCAGATTCTTAGGGCCTAAGACATAACCAATTTTTATTACATGCACATGGAAGAAATTTGAAAATAGAAAAAAAAATTCTAATTCATTTTAGATTAATGAAAGTGATGAAACCTCGATTTAGGTAATCACATTTGTTCATTGGGATGCAGCTATCATTATCCATTCATTTTTTTCTGTTGTTTGCTACTCTGTGGAGTACAATTGGGAATTGAAGCAATTGTAGAAGTGGAGACTAAGAGTGGCTCTTTGTAAAGAAATTGAACCAATTTGTTACTTTTCCAAAATAAAATGTAGATGATCTAAAAACAATGATCCCAAAAATGCAAAAGAAAGGACAAATCTGAAAAACATACTAGTAATAAAATAACTAAAAAGATCCCAGATGTTCAGTGAAAAGCGCAAAGTAAATCATAGATGAAGAGAAAATAAAATAAGTGTTTTAAGGGACTATACTAACATAAAGATAACTCCTTATTGATATAGTGTATGGTCAGTAAAAGTTAAAGCTAGTTTAAATAGATTTAGCTTTTTTCCACAAACTATAAAACATCATTTTGAAAGAGATTTCAATAGTATACAGACAGTGATTGCCTTTGAGCAATGTAGAGCAAAATATGACAGTTACTATTTGTTTTGATTACTATATCTAGTATATAACCTATTATTATGTACTCTATTTGAAGAAACAAATAAGTAGTCTTTCATTTTCAACATTTAATGATGACAGCTTCGTATATGCATTTCTATTGCATTTGGTCATCCAAACCCCTATAAGACCTGGTAGCAGGGAAGATAAAGGGTACTTTTGACTGCTCACATGATCTAATTAACTGGTCATTTGTACTTTTCATCTTCCCTGGTAGCGAGGATTTAGGTTTTCGAGGAAATTAGTAATTCTATTTCATATCATGTGGCCATGAATAATCCAATGAGCATCCATAATACAAAGAGTAATTGAGGGCATATAATTTGAATATGCATGGGATTACACATACTGTATCATTTTATTTTTTTGATCTACTTGTAATAGTTCTAAAATTAAAACATGAAAGGCCAGGCATGCAAACTGGCATGGTATTGTGTTACAAAACATTATTTCATTCTAGATACAATAACATGCATATTGGCATACTTCGTTTTAATATAAGATTGTTATAACTCCAAGTTTTGTAAGTCACATGACCAATTCTTAGACAGTTGATTGGTTGAAACAGTTGATATCAGATATGACAATTTGAAATTAGAAATAAGCTGTTTGTCTGGAGATGGTACAATTTCACACTGAATTCTAGCTTAATGAGAGGGAATTGAGATGGGGCATGTATCTGAGATGAAAGCCTGTGTTTCAAATAGTAAAATTCCATGTCTATCTCAATTTTTTTGAAAATGGCAGTTAGTACAAAGTTATTCTCACGCGACGATGTTACATTTACTTTTAATCTTCAGAGAGGCACGTCGAGAGCTATACGGAGAGAAGACGAAGTCATCATTTAAGTCATTCAGTCGGAAACACAATGCCTGCTGCAACAATGCGCCGTCCCTATTCTGCAATGGCACAATTCACATACACCAGTGCACCTATACATCATTACACGCCTGGCAAAGAACCGTTTTGCTCCACACCAACTATACCTAAAATACACATGCCTCACAGCGCCCTCAAGCGACAGGTGAGACGGGGTTGGACGGACAGTCATTACGTGAGAGAAATGTCCGTCAATACTGGGAGGGAAGGAATGAAATTTTCCCAATGGAATGACACTTCTGCATGAATACTATATATAGTAGTTAGACCGTTGTGTACTGTATTCACCATGTTAAACACAGGTCCTTAGCCAGCTTTTGGGGGTTAACTTTTCATTAAAGAATTCCAGAGGGGTCTACATTTGACATCTTTGGACCAAAATCACTTGAAGAAAAGTGCTCAGAATGGTGAAAACTGAATATCTGGCCAGGAAACCCCCGAACCTTCCGGGGTTACGTGCCAGTCTGGATATTGAACATGCACTAACTAGATTGATGAAACGTGGCTTGCGTGTACTTTAGACCAACTGCAAAGCAGTTATACTCAGATGCAAGTAGGTAGTTACCAGTTTCGCCACCAGGTGGCTGATTCGGGGGAATTAACATGGCAGGGTATTACAAAATTCCCTTAAACTTGAATATGCATCAGTTTTAATGGTTCACTTTTCATACTACCTTTATGTATCTGATAGTTATACAAATTAAAATATGTCCAGTACAAGAAAATATTATCTGCACAACACAAGCAAAGATATTTCACTTTTTGTGGTTTTACAACATGGGCTCTATAGAGAATCTCCCCGACCTAGAAGTCACATTTTCAAAGAAAATTAAATTTTCAAAGTTGATAAACTCTTTTCAAAACCACATTTCTAAATGTAATTTTACATGTAGATTCCAAATATGACATCAGTTTGACTGAATTGTGAATTTTTAATGACGTAAATCAAGATTATTTCTACTCGCATCTGGGATATTGATTGCTCTTGTGAAGAGCGCACTTCAGAGTTACCCAGAAAATATATACATTAATGTACGGGGAAGTTAGGATAGTTATTTGATGTAGTTCAATTATAATTACAATTTATTAATTTCATAATTCTTATATAAAATACACTTCGTCTCGTTCCAATACAGGAATTTCTCGAGCAGAATATATCCTGTATTGCACTTCAAATCATTCAAGAACTTATATTATTCCATGATGGTGAAATTCCCTGCAATCTGATTGGTCCATGTGACTTAAATATATCTTGTATTTACACGCACTTTCCACTTAGCATTGAATACAGAGTGAAAATGACGTCAGCGTTGGGATACGGTCCAGTATCCCAACGCCCCAGATTTCCATCCAGGATATGACTATTACTGAAAAAATCAATGGCGATCTGTTTACACCAACGCATGCTAATATTTGCATTTTGCTAGAAATATCTGATTTGAATATCAAGAAATGATACGGTGATCACCACAATTTATTATTTTAGGATAAAAAACACTCATCTGTAATTATAAAAAATCAGTATGAAGCATGCACATTGTTTTCACGAACTAGTAAAAATCCAATATGGCAGACGAAAGTCGAAAAAACGTTTCGTTACACTGTTCCAGCTGATGAAATTGAAGAAAAATGTTGAAGAAAATCAAACGTATCGTATAATACAATAAAAGCAAAACAACAAGGCCGAAAAGATTTTGAAGGAATATCGATGTAAAATATTTTTGAGGTGAGAAGGTTGATCTGTTTCTCCGGTCCCAAGCCAAGGAAATGGACTTAATTTAGGGGAGTTTTATCTGAGTAATCATGGAATAAAAACGTTATTCAATGATTTCTCGTGAAATACAGAAAATATTCTTCCCTTGAACGTCTGTATTTCACTCTGCTAGCGCATCGTGAAATACGACCTTCTCGGGAAGAATATTTTCTGTATTTCACTCGAATCATTGAATAACTTATAGTACATAAACGGAAAGCACAACATTAAATTACAAGAAATATTTATTTTTATGATTATATAACAAAAAGTACTTGTGCCCTAATGAATATTCGGAAAATAAAGATAGGGACTGTAATCTATTGATTCAAAATGAAATATGAATGAAATATGACAATCTGCTGAAACGAAAGTAAAATGGCATAGCTTCATTGCTTACTACATCGTTTACACTGGGGCTGTAAATAAGTTGCTCGATGTACATGTGTATGTAATCTTTATTAATCATATAGGTGAATAATAATGTACATAGTTTTTTTATTTAATCATACAATCGTTATTTTCATGTCATGCAATACAAAATATCAATTTCCGGGGAAAAAATTCTAAAGCCTCTTTGAATCACTTCTAAATGTTTTATGAGATATTTACGCCTTAGTGACAACACCAAAAACGCAAATTTGCAGACCACAGATTCTAAGTAGAATGCACAACTTAAAGCACGTATATGAAGTAACAATGTTAAATTATGAGAAACGGCCAGGGATTGTGCCACTGTCTCTAATTGATTGATTATATAACGACATGGAATGCTGCAGCAAATTAACATTTCGTAATAGCACCAAGGTAGGACTGTTTACAGTAACTGGATGTGTATTCATAGCTGAATTAGAAGTCTTTGTTCCTGAAAAACAATTTGATTACTCATGAATAATGATTTCTTACAATATTTTAAATGGATGATTCAGATGTTGGTTTGGGAAAAAGATTCAGTTGAAATTTAATTAAAAAAAACTTCGTTTAAAATTGAGAATAAACAGAGCAATCCGCTGCATTGAGAACAACAGATTCTAGAGATAAGACTCGAAGATCAAGCACACTGCGTTCTTATACGTACCGTAATAACTGAAACGTTTATCATAATTTCATTGCGGCATTTTATCAAATCTCGTTAGATCAATATCAAAACTATTGCCATATACGAACCAAAAATTTATAATATTTTTGAGACAAATTACAGCACCTTCGTTTGAATTCCCATTGTTGGTTTTCCTGGCCGTTATGCTCCCAGGAGCATATTTCCGCCCCGGAGTCTTGGTTTGCTCCAACTATGTCAAGGCAATTGCTCGTGTTCCTATTCTTGATCTTCTCTCCGCGAACCAGCCAGATCTGCTCACAACGCCCTTTCTCGTAAGGATTCAAAACAATACGATCATCTGTAACAGAGAACTCGATACATAGTTGGATATATCGATGCAATCTTTGGCCGGGATAGTATATCAATCCCAAATATGGAGAAATGGCGAGTTGATTTACTTTTTAATCAAACAAATATTTATCCATATTTGATTTTTCAGTTTATTGACATACACATACAACTAAATGATCGTGTAGAGATGAAGATTATGATTTAAGCTTACAATGTGTTAATCGACTTTAAATCTTTAACATTGTGTGTCATTGCATTCTGATACTTATTAAAAATAGCATCATTCTGTTTCACCTGAAAAATGATCTTAGGGCTGAGAAGAAATGAGATGTCATGGCTTATCATGATGGTGCCATTGTGTTTTAAATAAGTTCGATATTATTAGAAATCAGATTGAAGGACAGATCTGTGTAAACCAGCTGTGTGTAGTAAAGAATGTACACTAAATTCAAATGTCATCACTTGAAAATTACAAAAGTGTAACAATGAATATTAATTAGATGATACTAATAAAATCATACTGAATTTCAAAAAATGCATAATATGCATACCACATATGTCCAGACAGAATCCGTTGAGTTTGGATCTTATGGTACGCGTCGGTCTGTGCGCCCACCACATCTGATTGTCGACCTGTTCATCACTTTTCCTTTCCCACATAATCAGCCTCGCCCCCGGATCACAACCGTTGTTCTTTACATCTAGGACAAGACCATTCATTCGACTGGTGATAAAGAAGTACCTATAGAAATATAATCAAATGCAACACTGAATTTTCTTTACATTAAAAGATTACGAGCATAAATGAACTACATTTCCTATTATTATTTTCGTGATATCTTACAAAGCGCATGGCGAGACTTACTTCTTCTTTTTAGAGTGCTTGTGATTGTATTCCCTTTGCCTATGGTCGTCATAATCATCGATCTCTGTGCCACTTCCACTGCTGCTACTGCTCTACAACAGATATACAAGCACTCTGGTATTCCAGTCATATATTTCAATGTTATGAAAGATTATTCCTTGCCAGACTATTTCTCTCCTGATAGAGTAGCCAATCTTTCGAAATGGAGCAATATTATTGGCCTATCTAGGTTAAAAAAAGTTTTATCATGTTTTGAATATGTATCATTGGACAAGAATATAAGACAAAGTGGGTTTATACGGGGCCTATAAAGTACAAATTGAGGTTTTTTCATTGTTACATGTACTTCGTCTAAAACCTTTTAAAAAGTTGAGGAGCTTCCACAAGTATTAAAGATATCATAAATATCAAACTTGACACGAAATGGTAGATATTAAGCTGGTTATGGGTAATTTGAATAAAAATAGCTGTGTACCGCACCAGTCACACTGTTAATGTACCCGACCAGATCATTAAGATCATTAAGAAAAACAAGATCCTCTTTTGAGAATGTAAGCCTAACATTTTTTAAAAGTGCCATGGTGGGGTGAAAATCAACATTTTTTTCAGAGAGTTGGATTGATATTTTACAATCATGGGTACTTCACTTGAAAAAAAAACATATTGTTTTAATAAAAAACACTGTATTTATGGCCAGAAAGTAATCAGGGTTAAAGAACCGTCTAAAAGCACTTGCCATACCTCACATGGTATTTTGCCAACAAACAGTTAACTCGAGGGTAAACAATAAAATGCACAAATACAATCGAAATATATTTACGGAACATGTAACAGCTTCTATAATAGTACAATAACGTCATTTCGAAGGGCAATATAGTGAAATATTGGACATAAGGCCGAACGACCAGGACTGAAACAGCAAGAAAATCTTACGCACTGAACGATATCTAATTTCCCGGGGAAAATTGCCGGTCGTTAAATGCATTCTCGACCGGTCGTTAAATGCATTCTTGACCACCACTATGACGTCACATATTGTTCAGGTCGATATAGTAAAATGAATGCCTTCTAAACTAGCACTAAAATCCCTAGAACTGGCCCGGCAAGGTGGTAATAATAGAACATAGCGTGACATTATTGATGCGTATAACGGACGGTTTCAAGGTTATCAACATTATACACTTTTAGTGGGACACCCTGTGCGTTTAGTAGAGGTACGTTGGAGTGGAAGACAAACGTACCCTGTATAGTAAAATTTGTATGTAGGTTGTGCTTTTATTGTAAGTGGCTTCAGTACATCATTGACAAGTGTTTGCTAAGTTCATAAAACTTTCTACGTGTTCTTTGTTTTATGACACCCTCAATGAAATGTAAACAATTAAAACCGTAAACATGTAGGTGTATGTACGTGTGCGTATAAATCAGCGCATAAATAAAAGATAAGTAAATTAGATAAACGTATATCACATGGGGGTTGAACTACGCATCTTTTTACGTAGGCTAGGACTATTACTATTAATAATAGTATCTTCTTTATAAGAGAAAAACGAATGTAGACTCCTCTTATGCACCAACGACCGATGGTGTCAAATTTCATACAATCAATGCACGCTTTTAATTAACACTCTGAGTTTTAGTAAGCCTTTATCAAACAAATGATTCAAAAATGGAATTACATTTTTGACACTGTTAACATTTTAGAATCGTTTACGTGTAAGGCTATTTACCACTTTTTGAGCTACCTAAGATGTTAAACCGAACAAGAGCGTTCACCTTCACTTTTTATTTATCCAAAACGAATATTGATTGTGGATATTTTCTGATGCCGAAGAAAAATTTAACTTAAAGTCGATGCATTATGAAGAGGAGTATGCACATATTTTGATATGGTCTTGACAATTAACGCATTTGGATAGTATAATGTCGTCATGGTGCTGCCTAATCGCTAAAAACAATAAATGGGATTATTTAAAATGTATCATTTCATAGGCTAGCCTATTAATCCATCACAGCAATAATAATTAGTGAAATGAAATTAATATAAAGATGTGTAAACATAAAAAAACTCACAAATATTGAAAGGGAAACAAGTGACCGTTTAAGCGTTTACATCTCGTTTTATAAACATCTCTCTAAAATGTATTCATCTACATGTATTTAAGTAAGCACTTTAAGTTTATTAAAGTATGAAAAATATAAATGATTTCGCATGTTCATATCCTGCTTCTGATATAAATAACACAACATAAAGGCGAATCTGTAAAAAATGAATGTTTTCATCATGAAGTTATTAATAGAAACGTAATCACACTTACTGATGATGAATCGTCCGACATCTCCAACCTCTGTGTTCCAGATCTTTCAGATCTGATCAGAAATATTTGCGATGATAAGACCACCTCTCGTTTTGAACGACGCACGGTTACAACCGCTTGTTATACACAACGAGCAAATACTTTATCACCTCTTCAAAAGATCTGAAATAGCACACAGTACAGCGCGGTCCAGAAAATATGCATCTTATAAAGCATTACTCTCCTTTGGTAATACATTTGGGAATGAGAGTTCAGGCTTTTTCACGGGGTATTTGACAGGTCAAATAAAATGCATTACGTGAGCTATCAACGAGAAAAGAATAGCAGTATATATAACGGGGTACATGTACCTTCTATATCAAATCATATGAATGTGGTTTCAGTTTGATATATTTACAAGGGTTACTTATGGAATTGTCAGGGTTTAAAAATAACATGTAATATTCACAACATGAATAGAGGATATCCTATGATTTATGAGTGATATGATTTTTATCCACGAATGGATATGATATCTGTACGAGCGAGCGTAGCAAGAGAGTGCAGATATCAATATCCATGAGTGGATTAAAATCATGTCACAAGTAAGTCAAAGGATGTTCTCTTTATTCCATAGTTAAAGTGTGCTTGTCATATTCATCTAATGTATCTCTGTTTTCTCCTCTCACTTTCAACAGATTTTCCAAAATGTTTATTCACGAGTCTTTTTGACAGAAGTGTTCTTGTTCCTCTGATAAAAATTGAGACAAAGGGTTCAATATCTCTGGATTCAGTTGTCATAGATTGATGTATTATGGCCTGATAATTGGCTACTCTTAAAGACACATAATGTTTCAGAGGGTCCAAAGGAACATTTTGACAAAGTTTTCATTGATGTACTCGAGATGTCATTTAAAACTAATTTTAGGGGCATTTCAAAAAGCGCCCCCTGGTGGTAGCCCCAAACTTGTCACTTATAAAGAGTTGCCTTTTTGGGGATGCTAGACCGACATCTACAAATTGCAGGCCTCAAACCTTTTGTACTTGAGATGTCTTATAAATGTTTGCTAGCTCCTAGAGTAATATATAGGTAAATGAGTTGTCGATTCTCTATCATCATTTCAGACAGTTTTCAACCAACTCTTTTTGATCAGATGAATCATAAAATGAAGTAACTATGCCGAGATTGTAAAGTATTTCATAATACTTATGGACAGGGGGGGGGGGCAGATGACCCCCTGGCGTTTCCAGGAGATTGGAGAGGTACAGTAGAAAGTAAGGCACCATATTATAGGTCATGCAAAAGTAGATAAAAGTACCATTAGGGACATTGCGGAACATTGAAAAAACAGAAATCAGTAAACTGTTGCCAGCTACAGATAAATAATACAGCTTTATTGTTATGGAAGCTCTAATAGTGCATTTTTAGAAATATTTGAAGAGTGGCTTTTAATCTTTGGTATATAGGGCACCAAACCCTGCAAGTATGAAATTGTATGGTTCCCATTATCAAAAGTAATGAGCATTTCACAACGACGCATAGATTTTTTGGGATCAGAGGGTATACGTTTTTCTACTTTTTCAGTTACCGTAACCTTCAAGCTTTCTCATTGATTTTTTATGAAGCAGTTTTTCTACCTTTTCAGTTACCGATCTCCAATTTGTTCAATATTCCATACATTTTATCCAAATTTTACATAGATCTTTGGTACACATAAGGCATCAAAACCCTGCAAGTATGAAATTGTACGGTTTCAATTCTCAAAAGTTATGAGCATTTCATGACGACGCATAGATTTGTTTGGACCAGAGGGTATACAGTAATGTTTTGTTAGCTAGAAAAGGGTAATAAATATGATAAATGTATAAAGGATCTACCTTTTAAGGACAAAATAAATATGGGTAAATACTTTTTTTAGATCTGGTAGTTTGGTCTACAATTTGAAGAAATGATAAAAATGGGAGGAGGGGGGACAAAACACAGGATATAACCTTAAAATACTGAAGAAATAAATTTTTGCAAAAAACATACATGTACCCCTGGCTATAATACAGTTTAAAATATTGGACATTGGCATGAGTATTGGCTGGGAAAAATAGGTTTATGCATCTCTGCCAGCGAAAACGCAATATCGCGTGATTTTTTATTTATTACAATCATATTAACATATTTACATAATATTGATAATGTTGAAAATAGCATTTTTGAGTCAGAAGTTGCAGCATTGGCCAATTTTCATGATAATTTATTTTGGTTCTAATTATAGATGCTGTATGTTTATAGATTATAGATTAATCCTGATATAATCAAAATATAACACAGATTTGTATTTGTTGTTCTATATTTATTGATTCATGAAAAATATTTCAAAATAAATAAAGCCATCTGAGATGACAAAAAAAGTTTTCTCACAAAAACTAGTAATTGGAATCCAATAACTCTTAGCAACATGTCTATTACATACTTCAGATCAGTTTGTAATAGTTTGATGCATAAATATTCACTACTTTGTAAATTGCATGCATATTTGGATAGGAAAATGACCAAAACAGCCGCGGAATGGAAAAATCTTGGGAGAGGGGAGAGAAATAAGATTATTTCTAAAGAAAGTAATAGAGATACGTTACAATGTTTTGCAAACATCTGACAGACATGTTCGGGACTTCTTTGAAAGATCAATTTCATTCATGGATATATTTCCTACTCAAATTATTTTGATTGAAAGGCGACTGGACAGTCATGCGCTACAATATGATATTGAAAACATTGCATCTCAGTCTATAAAAGTCCGATTACCTTAAGTGGTTTGACCGAAAATGTATTCACTATACGATATGGTATATATTCAAAAGAAAGTAAAGTGCAGCACTAGTTTTCATTTTTTTATTCAGCTATATAGAAACAACCTTATTGAAGTTAAATATAATTTGCAATTGTATTCTCATCGGAACAGTACAATTAGTCTACAGCTTATTAAGGTCGATTGGATCATAGATACTCTCCTCTCTGGTTTCTTTATATGATTTGTTAACAACTCCATTTCGGCTGTTCTCTACATGTGCATTGTCAATAAACTTATAATTTCCATTGTGTGTAATACCACCATATACTGACTTAACAGTACCCATTGTGGCACCAACATTTCGTTTATCGCTTTTCATGTCACTAGTGCCGAAAACTTCTGCCTCTTCGAACGTCTCTGGCAGTTGTTTATCTTTAGTCTCTGGGAGAAAGAAAGCCAGCGCACCAGCAATCAAAGAAAATCCTCCCAACATAGCGTATGGCAATCCATACCAAATTTTACCGAACAATGGTAAATTTGGACTTATAAGACCTCCTATTCTTCCAACACTCGAGCCACTTCCAAGTCCAACGTTACGTGCAGGTGTAGGAAATAGTTCGCCACTATATAAATACATCACTCTGAACACAAGGTTTATCATAAGTGATCCGAACAGGGCAGCTGTCGATGTCAATGCCATGATCTTTGTCTGTAAAAGTCCAATCATCCCCAAAGCAAAAACACCGTTCACGATGCTAAACGAAATTACTGTTGTTTTCCTGCCCATCTTGAATAATGCAACCAACATAAATAATGGCGAAATAAGATCAGATAGTCCATTGACAAGGAAATTATTTAGATAAATGTCTCCGGGTATCAATGTACCAACGTTAAGTACCATAGCGTAGGAACCAAACACAACAGCAAACCATTGGACCCAGATAACCAAGGTCCTCTTCCTCATGTTTGGGGTACGGAATAAGTCTATGACTGACACTTTCACAGGCTCTTCCTTTATGCATTCGTTTTTTGTTGAGGCCTTATCGTATAAGGTAAAATTATCAGGAAGAGTAACTTTATTTATTCTGGCGATCCTCCTGCTTATATCGTCAGCTTCTTGGTATCGCCCTTTGGCGATTAACCAACGAGGGGATTCTGACAAGAAACACACACCAATGAAACCTGGAATTGCTATTAATCCTGAAATAATCTGCAACCATTTATGACCTCTAATGAAGAAGGCCGTTAGGGTCATAAATGCGCCTAGTACGCGCATTGAGTTGGCTAAAAGTGTAGCGTGTGTCCTGTGTACAGGTGGCATCACCTCGAGAGTAAGGACCCAAAGACTCGTGTAAGCCCCGATTGAAGTCAAAAGTGACAGCAAACGCATTATCAAAAACAGGATGAAGTTATTTGAGAAAGCTCCTCCTACAATAGCACCGATAGAACAAAGTATCATACCAAGGGCAGTTCGCTTTCTTCCAAACCTGTCGGCAATAAGTCCGGAAAGGAATGCTCCAATCAGAAGTCCGATCATCTGAAATGTAGCAGGCAGAGTAAACATCCAGTCGTCATCACATACAAGTTCGAACTCGCTGACAATTGTTGCTTCCCGCACGGATTTATCAAACACCCATCCATTGTTACAACCAATTTCAGAAGTTGTCCCATTGCCGATCAATGAGTCGATTACGCTGGAATCGGTGAAGTTGAAAGCGCTGTAGTTATAGTTGAACATACTACATTGTTTGTATATCGTATCCCCCAGTGGACCAGTCGTCTGGGGAATAGCAATCAACTTCTGCATGGTTTCATTTAAATGTTGCAACTCGGGTACATTGCACCAATGGTCCATCTTACCAGCTATAAAATTAGTAAGGATGTACTGCCAGCTATTCGCTGTAAAGAATATATTCCATACGAGCAATACATATAGCTGATATCGTCCAAAACCTCCCAACAAACCCAGAGTTTCGTCAAACGTCATGCCAACAGTTGTAGGAGTAGCTATAACCTGAAAATAAGTATCAATGAAATAATTTACATAAGCATTATATATTCAAAGAATTGGATAAGTAAGGTCACTGGGGTTAAGTGATTGATTGTTCTATATCTAGCTCCCTTTACAATAGCTGTTGTTGTTTTATAGAATGGCTCACAACGGGAATGATATTATTATAATGTTAACAGTTAAATTTCCCTCACATACATACCATAACACCATGCATTGTTTTCAAGTAATGCAATACAACTTTGTGAGGTTTTAGATTTTTTAAGCGAAAACAACAACAACAATATATACAGGGTGGTCAAAAAAGAGAAATATACATTTTAAAAGCTAATATAACACAAATATCTAATTCTATTTTCGGTGAATACCTGTGCAATTTTCACAAGTGATATTAATCGATACCACGTACAGGTATTGAAATTAAAGCAAACAATGCCTTGCGAGCACATAATTATGTAAATGTAACAACCATCCCCATGTTTTTTTAATTGATTTATCCTTATAAAAATGCATTTTTCACTCGGGAAACAATCTTATCTGGACTTAAATGTGAGTCACCCTATACTTTATGTAAACTCGAAATTGAGGTGAAATAGAACAATAGACTGGACATGAAAAGTGTAAACAATTATGTTATATGAGATCTCTTATTTGGATAAAGGTATTGCATAAACGTACTCGAGGTGAGATTTTAAAATCATACGTTACCAATCGCGAATTTGCACTTAAAATAAGCAAGCTATAAGATAAAGTACGTTGCTAGTCTTGACATACTCTGAGACAGAGACATATAATACTTACATGTATGTTATTAACGTATAGATAAGCATTACTAGTGAGACTTAGTATGCAATGTCACTCAAAATTGAAACTTCTGATTAGGAGGCGAAGTCTCGCGAGTTGCCCGGAGCAAGTTACAGAGCAAAATTAGACAACGACCTTAATTCACGTGATTTTCCCGGAGAATCGCCCATAATCTGCCCATATAGGTAAACTCCGCCTTTTCGCCATTTATGGAGAGTGGCAATTCCCAGACAGTAAAGTATTAACTACGCCTTTTCCCTTGTATGGAGAATAGTCCGAATACCATTCGTGATAGTGTACTGTTTAGTGTCGAACTTTTGAAGTGAGGTTTTCCTCGATTTTTCTACTTGATTTCTCGATAGTAAATGATACGTTTGTATCATTCCTTTGTCAGATTTAAGATATGAACGGTGTACATCTCAACAATCTTTCGATGAGTAGCTTAATCCATTGATATTGGCAGAAATTCGAAATATTTTACTAAAGTTATGGAATAAATCTCATAGCACTAGATTAGTTTTGTGCGGAATGTGCTGAATGTACACTTTCTGCTGGGTGGATTATGCACCAAGTCGATGTTTGATTGACTCCGGAACACGTAAAACAGTAAAATAATTATCTTGATTCATTTATGGTTATGGATAAATAACATCGATATTCAAGCAAAGATAAAATTTGAACAAAATAAATCCAAGGAATACTTTCAGCAAGCTATGGTTGACTTTCGTCAACCCGGGATCGTCTACGGGGTAGGAATTTTCCCGGGGAAGTTTGAACTGGGGATTGTTCCCCTCGATATCTCGATAGTAAATGGACATACAGTATGTGCACAATTCTTTCTTCAAAGTTGATACAACTTTACAATCTGTTAATGGTAGCTTTATCCATCGATATCGGCAGAAATTCGATCGTGATTTAAAAGGAATTACGTAAGAACAATATTTTGCCAATCTCCGATAAACCATGGACTTTCAACTAGATCTAATTGCAATCCTGCTATTTTTAAATTAAAGGTGCTACAAATAGTGCAGGGGGGCCATCGACAAGTGTCAAAATATATTCAGGTTTGGATATTTCATCAAGACTAACATATATTTTCATTATCTACAAAGAAACCCTCTGGATGAACATTATTTCAGCTGATATTCCTCTTGAAACATGGTGGATCTTAAAAATCTATAAGTGGGACTCACTTTATAGAAGCTTTGAATTGAATTTACACTTCTTAATGCTGAAATTGATAGTTTATACATACATTTTATGAAAATAGGTATGTCAAAGAAGGTATTAAGCCAAATATTGACCTAATAGCTCAGAAAAAATAAAAAAAACTCGAATTTTCTCTCTACAGTCCTTATTGCCCCTTTATTAATAACTACTTCCATTGGTAATCATAGGTTTTGAGCCAATATAAATATGGCAGCAACAGAGTCGTATGAATCTTTTCTTTTCCTTAGCCCATGGCAGGGTCCCATAATATATATTCAAAATACAATTAAATACATACAAAAAATATTGCCCTTTCCCCTATACGACATTACACGTATCAAATACACAAATTGCTCCCTCAAAACCGGAGGCATCAAGTAAATAAATTTTGCCCCTTCGAGATTGTTCCCTCCAAATCGGGGGCATCAAGTAAAGAAATCTGGCCCCTCCCTGTATATCCTGTATCAAGCACAAATAGAAATAACCCCATCCCCTAAACTTCTACCTCCTCTATCATGCACTTGTTATATAATATCAATATGTCTACGGATGTCTCATAGTATTTGTTTTCATATCGATTTTGAATGACGATTCGACATTAATTTCTATATACTACATGTGCAAACAAACATATAAGCATCACCGCCACGTGATGTTCGAATTGATAATCTACGACTCAAACCAGAAATCGTCAAGGGTGCTATTGTCAAGGCCATATGTTATATAATTACTATTCAAAACATCAAGACAAGTGATGTATTTCCATTATAGGTTCATATTAATACAAATACATTTAAATATATCAACTTAAACATGTTGTCAAATCGAGGAGCAAGAATTATCAGATTTGTTTGTGAAAGGGGACTGCCTGTGTGTTGAATCTGTACGAAAAATAGCGTTTTAAAGTGAAATCCATTTATATACTTAAACCTGCACATCGCTCCAAAACGCAATATGTTGACATATATTGTTTTTACATTTTCAAGCTCTAATATAAAGTTTATGTAAATAAAAATTGTTTTTTTCTGCGTAATATCAAAGAACAATCATTTAGTTAAAAAAATAAAAAGGCGGGTGCAGGATTCGAACCCGGGCCACCCGCGTGCTAAGCGAGGAGTCTACCCCTACACCATCGTGTTCTTGTGAAGAGTGGAAGTAATTAAACGCTACTTATTTTGAATGCTATGATTCGGAGGTGACGTCACGTTCTTCATTTAGAAACCTTTCCAAAATCATATCGCCGGCACCGATCGAAGCAAATTCAATGAAAAATCTTTGAAATTACACATTTATCGTAAGTATTTCTACACAAGATTTGCCCCATTTGTTCATCATTCTATAATCTTTCATTAAGGTCAAAATGATAAAGTTCACCCCCGAAACAACCCAAGATTGCGTTTCGGAGGGAAGTCCAGCTTTAAATGCATGTTTTATCATGAAAGCAATTCTAAGTCTCATGCTTGAATGAAGGGCTCCCGAGAATATTCCTATTTCGATTATTTTCGATGTCGTTTGCCAACATTAAATCTAGGTTTTCACAAATTTTAGCTCTTGCAACACTTCACTAAACGAAAGGTCAATTACTCAAATTCCCGGGAACGACAAATGTGTTCAAGATACAGGTCAGGTGACCCCCGGCGTTTCCAAAGTTGAAGAGGTTCAGTAAAAACTAACTTTTATTTATGAAAAATATTTCAAAATAAATAAAGCCATCCGAGATGACAGATTTTTTCTCTCTCAAAATAACAACAATAAAAATATCCTATTCTATTTCTATAAATTATGTTTTCTCCCAAACTAATCAACATATCTCTCTATAATCTTAGGATACACTCACCACTGTACTAGTAAATGATAAACTAATACCCTCCTCAAATATTACTCTAGGGGGTAAAAAGGCTCAGAATCCTTCGTCCACAAACTAACACAACCCAGACATATGTGAATTGATGCTACATGAAATCAACTAACAAGTGGCATATCAGGATGTTTAGAATGTTTAGTTATCTATAACTTATCACCGAAAATCTATTTTACAGCTAATAGCGCGGGCATGCCAGTCATTTATAGCAATGATTTTCCGTGACGTATTGAAAGATGTCAACTTTTTTCAGTCTCAAAAACTATTTATTTTCTAAAGTTGAAAATAAAAATTCAAACTTCCGAGGGCTTAGAAATGTTCATCGAATTACACTAATAACTATTTGTGTGTCACACCCGACACTTATACAAGTAATACTAACAATAATTATTAGTTATTTTAGTAGTTAGTTTATTAGTTATTTTAGTTAGTTAGTTTATAAAATAGTGAGGTCAACAGTGTTATTTGAGCCTGTGTCCCTGCTTTTGTTATCCGCTATGTTCACCAATCCATCGTCGGTTCTTCTATCGTTTTCAATTTTATCATACTTGTCATCCACAATCGAATTAGCCATTCCATAATGGTTTGTGCAATTATCGTCCACTGACCCAGGCTCACTATCTCTCATCGCCTTTTCTTTGCTGTTAGTCGCCCTTCCAGTACCAAACAGCTCTGCCTCTATGAACGTCTCTGGCAGTTGTTTATCTTTAGTTTCTGGGAGTAGAAATCCCAGTGCACCAGCAATCAAAGGGAAAATTCCCAGGGTTAAATAAGGTAAACCGTACCAAATGTTTCCGAGTAAGGGTATGTTTGGACTTATTAGACCTCCTATTCTACCAAAGCTGGAAACGCTACCAAGACCGACATTCCTTGCAGGGGTAGGGAATATTTCGCCACTGTATAGATATATCACTCTAAAAGCGGTGTTAATTAGTAATGTTCCGCACATTGCAATTGTTGTAGTCAAAGCCACGATCTTTGTCAGCAACAGTCCAATCCATGACAAAGCTAAAACCCCATTCACAATAAATAACGAAATGATTATGGACTTCCGACCCATTTTGAATAATGCAATCAACAGTATTATTGGAGAAAGGAGATTAGAAACTCCATTGATTATTAAATTGTTTAGGTAAATGTTCCCGGGAATCAAAGTGCCGACGTTAAGTGACATGGCGTAAGAACCAAACACAACAGCAAACCATTGGAACGAGATCACCAATGTTCTTTTCCTCATGTTTGGAGTACGCAATAAGTCGATGACAAGAACTTTCTTCGCAGGTCCATCACTCACGTGTTGCTCTTTAGTTGTGACGTCATCTATCAGGGTAAAATCATCAGGAAGATTTATTTTATTTATTTTAGCGACTCTCCTGCTTACATTTTCGGCTTCTTGATATCGTCCCCTTGCAATTAACCATCTAGGCGACTCTGAAAGGAAGAACACACCAACGAGACCGGGGATGGTTACCAATGCTGATATAATCTGGAGCCATTTATGACCTCTCACGAAGAACGCCGTCAGAGTTACTAATGCTCTGAGTATACGCACTATGGCGCTATAAAGAGTAACGTGTGCCCTATGCACAGGTTGCATCATCTCAAGACAAAGGATCCAGCAACTTGTGTTTGCTCCTATTGACGCTAAGAGAGAAAGCCAACGCATTGCTAAAAAGAGGTAGAAATTATCAGAGAAAGCTCCACCGATAATGGCTACGATTGCACATAACGCCATGCCTATTGTTGTTGGCTTTCGACCAAATTTGTCTGACATGAGTCCAGCGATAAAAGATCCGAATAATAGTCCTACCATTTGAAAAGTCGCCGGAAGGGTATACATCCAGTCATTTTCACAGACAAGTTCATATTGGCTCACAGCGGTTGAATCACGTACAGATTTATCAAACACCCAACCACTGTTGCAAGCAATTTCAGAAATTGTTTCATTTCTCATCCATGAATCGATTGTATTTGAATCGGTGAAGTTGATAGCGCTGTAGTTATAGTTGAACATACTACATTGTTTATATACCGTATCGCCCAATGGACCAGTCGTCTGAGGAATAGCAATCAACTTCTGCATGGTTTCATTCAAGTGCTGCAACTCGGGTACTTTGCACCAATGGTCCATTCTACCAGCGATAAACACAGTAAGTGTATATTGCCAACCATTCCCTGATGCAAATACGTTCCATACTACCGTTACCAATAGTTGGTATCGCCCGAATCCTCCCAACAATCCCAAAGCGTCGTCAAACTTCATCTTTGTGGGGTCTGATAGAGTTTGTAATGAACACCACTTTTAAGAGACTTTGGCAATCATAAAACAAATCATTGATATGAATCTCTCTTATTTACATCTGATGTTTGCCATTGTTGTACAAAGATAACATTATCAAGTGTCTTGACAATCAGTATTTTAACATATCCAATACGTAAATTTCTCTCAAAGAACCCTCTTGAATAATCAGGATCGGGCGTCTACAGGGTGTTCCATGTGTTTCAGGAATGATGCTGTATTTTAGTTGTTTTCTTTTCAATCCAGCTGAATTTTCGACAAAATGTGTACACGTTAGTTATAAATGCATCGAGGAAGTTGTATATCATGAAGGTCAGTAGACCTAATAATATGGTTGATATAGTAACCCAGGGGCAGGGTAGGAGGAGCAGGTGTAACAACCGGCAAAATATATGTCATATTTGTAAAAATAGTCGTTTTTGTATAAAGTGTGGGTAAGTATTAAGTTTTCATAGTTGCATCAAAGTCAGAAATTAAGCAAAAATGAAAGTGGATTCCTGGAAATTAAAAAGAATTGTCATCATTGATGATGTACTACAATTGAAAAACCTGTCATGTCATGGGTCCCATAGGAGAATAATCACAGGTCATTTTGACTGAGTGGCCATCTTGAATAGTGAAAATGTCATCAGGAAAAGATGAATTTCAACTAAGGCAACAGTCCAAGACCAACACACAACAGTCCAAGACTGTGAAAAATAAGTTTTCTGCAGCAATAGAAATTAAATACTTTTGGGAGTATATATGGGGACTTAATGACGCCAACCTCAAGAGTGTATGAGTGGTACAAAGGATTCAAATCAAGGGGATCTGAGACAGATAATCCAAAACACCTGATATGGCTGCACGTGCAGCCATAATGACCAGTGATGATTTTCATTTGTGAACCATGTCATGACATGCGTAATAATTGTAATACTATCAATGATGACATTTTTTTAATTTCAAAGAATCAACCTTAATTTTTGCTTAATTTCTGACAATGTAACTATGACAACCTAATACTTTCTAACAATTCATACAAAAAACGTATATTTTTACAAATATTTCATGTTTTGCGCGTTGCCACACCTGCTCCACATATCTTACCCCTGGGTATAGCAACCGTATCATTAAGTCTATTGAGCTTCAAGATATGAAACTTTTCAACTTATTCACAACATATTTGGACACATTTTGTTAAAAAATCAGCTAGATCGAAAAGAAAACCACTAAAATACAGCATCATTCCTGAAACATATGGAACACCCTGTAATAGTACATAACCATGATTGAGAGTAAGCATGCAGCATAATCATGCTTGTTGCCTATCGTGTTCTTGTTACAAAGTACGTACTCTTCGCAGTGCAAACTAGGGTCAAATAAATGACCTCATCTGCACTAAGGTTCAAATACACCATTGGAAAGCTTTGAGTGTGACAGCCTTAAGAATCAGACCTCCATCCGAACTACTGGTGATTCCAAAAGTAGATATTAACCCTTTCACCATCAAGGATTCTTCATTAATTTTGTGAAAATCAATTTCAAAATGACATATACCCCTATGGCCAAAACTGATTATTTTTAGGTTTGCAATAACTACTTAATGTTAATTAATGTTGTAGAATGTTGGAGAATATTTAAGAGTTTGAACACAGATATGCTGATACAGAGGTCATTCAGTGCAGTGACCGCATTATGCTACAGAAAGCTTCAGAAATTTTGTTTTCAGTAGAAGTGAGATTTGATATTTGACAATTGTGTGTACATTTTGCTAAAAGTATACTAATTTTTCCTGAGAGTATTAAGATTTTAGCAAGTGTGTATAGACTTAACATGAGAATATGCACATTTGACTGAACCCTAATGTGGATAACATTATTTTATAACACTAATGGATTGGGGGGTCAGATGACCCTGGTGTTTCCAAATTTGAAAATGCACAGTAAAAACTAAGGTACTGTACCATATTATAGTTCATTCGAAATCCTCGAGTAAAGTGTTTAAAATCTCAAAAAGTAGGTCAAATGTATGTCAAAATAGAATAGGGGGAGGGAGTTGTTGGTGTTTTTTTTTAACTTTTTGAACAAAAGCCTCATAAATATGATAGATGTATAACAGGATCTACATTTCTAGGACAAAAACGTGGATAAATATACATTTCCTAGATCTGGAGGTAATTTTGTCGAACATTTGAAGAATTGATATCGAAAAATGGGGAGAAGGGGAGACCCATCGACCGCCGATGACCGTCCACAAAATATGGGGACTTCAACAATATATCACAACTTGTAACAACTTGGTAACATAAAAACAAATGGAGATTCACTGGATTGATAACAATGGATAACAATTGAACAGTTTTCCATGTATTATAAAATATCAACTTTTTAGTTAAAAGACTATTTTTCGAAGTTGAAAATAAAAATCAAACTTCCAAGGGCTTACTGACAATGATAAATGTTATACATTAATGTCGTATCTTAATAATGATGTGGCAACAACCGTCGAACAGTAATGCAATGCCCAAATGTTCGAAACAGAGAACAAGAGATGTTCAGCTGTTAGCGTGGTGCCCTCTAGTAATATAGGCCGATTTTTGTGCGTAGAAATTGTATATTGTCTTGTATTTTACACTGTTATCTATTTGTACGTATTTCACCCCGACACTTGAAGATACAAATACAATTACATGTTTATTACCTAGTGAGGTCAATAGTGTTATTAAAGACTGTGTAACTGCTTTAAATTGTAATCCGCGTTGTTCACCGATCCATCGTCAATTCTTTTATCATTTTTGATGTTATCATACTTGTCATCCACAATCGAATTATAAGCCATTCCATCGTTTGTGAAGCCATCGTTCACTGATCCCAGGCCACTCTTCGAACTACTTTTTACCGCTTCCCGTCCACTATCTACATTTCCCCCGTCCTTCCAGTGCCAAATAGTTCTGCCTCTATGAAAGTCTCTGGCAGTCGTTTATTTTTAGTTTCTGGGAGGAGGAAAGCTAGTGCACCAGCAACCAAAGGGAAAATTCCAAGAGTCAAATACGGTAGTCCGTACCAGATGTTTCCGAGTAAGGGTATATTTGGACTAATTAGACCCCCTATTCTACCAAAGCTGGAACCACTACCAAGACCGACATTCCTTGCAGGGGTAGGAAATATTTCGCCACTGTATAGATATATCACTGTAAATACGACGTTTATTAGCGATGCTCCGCACATTGCAATTGTCGTTGTCAAAGCCATGATATTTGTCTGCAACACACCAATCAATGACAACGCTAAAACTCCATTCACAATAAGAAACGAAATGATTATGGATTTTCTACCCATTTTGAACAATGCAATCATCAATACTATTGGAGAAATAAGATCAGAAACCCCATTGATAATTAAATTGTTCATGTAAATGTTCCCGGGAATCAAAGTACCGACATTGAGTTCCATAGCGTAAGCGCCAAACACAACAGCAAACCATTGGACCCAGATAACCAAGGTTCTCTTCCTCAAATTTGGAGTACGGAATAAGTCAATAACTTGAACTCTCTTCACGGGTCCTTCACCTGGGAGTTGTTTTTTAGTTGTGAGTACGTCATCTATCAGGGTAAACTCATCAGGAAGAGTTACTTTATTTATTTTAGCGATTCTCCTGCTTATATCTTCGGCTTCGTGGTATCGGCCTCTTGCAATTAACCACCGAGGCGACTCTGACAGGAAGAACACACCAACGAGACCGGGGATGCTGACCAACGCTGATATAATCTGGAGCCATTTATGACCTCTTACGAAGAATGCCGTTAGAGTTAGGAACGCCCTGAGTATGCGCAATATGGAGCTGTAAAGAGTAGCGTGTGTTCTATGTACAGGTTGCATCATCTCAAGACAAAGGACCCAGAGACTCGTGTATGATCCTACTGCCGCCAAAAGGGAAAGCCAACGCATTGCTAAAAAGAGGTAGAAATTATCAGAGAAAGCTCCAACGAGGGTTGCTCCGATTGCACAAACCAGCATGCCTATTGTTGTTGGCTTTCTACCAAACCGGTCTGAGATGAGTCCAGCGAGGAAAGCTCCAAATAGTAATCCTAACATCTGAAAAGTGGCAGGAAGAGTAAACATCCAGTCATTTTCACATACAAGCCTAAATTGACTTACAACGGTTGAATCACGTACAGATTTATCAAACACCCACCCGTTGTTACAAGCGATTTCAGAAATTGTTTCATTCCTCACCCACGAATCGATTGTATTTGAATCGGTAAAGTTGATAGCGCTGTAGTTATAGTTACACATACTACATTGTTTGTATATCGTATCGCCCAATGGACCAGTCGTCTGAGGAATAGCAATCAACTTCTGCATGGTTTCATTCAAATGTTGCAACTCAGGAACCTTACACCAATGATCCATCCTACCAGCAATAAACACAGTAATGATACCTTGCCAACTATTTCCTGCTGAAAATGCGCCCCATACTACCATTACCAATAATTGGTATCGTCCAAAGCCTCCCAGTAATCCCAAAACATCGTCAAACTTCATTTTTGTTTATCTGATTGAGTTTGTAATGGACGCCACTTTTGGAGTTTTTGACAATTATAAAACAAATTATCAGTGATATATGTCTCTTTTATTTACATCTTGTTGTTTGCTAATGTCTTTAAAAGATAACACTGTTAAATGCCGTAACAATCAGTATTTTAACATTTATTCTTGACGTATTTTTATTGTGAATCTCCTTTGAATGACACTCTTGAATAACCAGGAGTGGGCACCTAATATACATGATTTATCGTAGGTATATTGTAGTACGTCTGTTCTCTGTCATGTTGTCATTGAGTAAGCATTCTCCACAGTTGTCTTCTACTAATATCAGAGGAGCAACTCCAGATTTCATAAGTAAAGTTGAAAACATTATTTTTGAATGAAAAGTGATTGATTTTGTTAGTCCGCCAGCTGAGTTATGAACCTTGCAAAGTGCACAGGTGATATTTGCGTCACGATGGCCCATTGGATGACACACTTGTTTTGGAATAACTAATATTTCTTTCTATGGCGACTTTTGAGTAAAAAAGGTTACCCACTTTTCATATACTAAATTGCAGAAATTGTAAAATTATCCTGTGTACTATTTCACCCAAATCATACAA